TCTGTGTGTGTGACTGTCTGTCTGTGTGTGTGACTGCCTGTGTGTGTGACTGCCTGTATGTGACTGCCTGCCTGCCTGTGTGTGTCTTTCTGTAACTATCTGTCTGTGTGTGACTGCCTGCCTGTGTGTGTGACTTTCTATCTGTGTGACTGCCTGCCTGTGTGTGTATAACTGTCTATGTGTGTGTTACTGTGTGTCTGTCTGTGTGTGTGACTGCCTATGTGACTGTCTGTCTGTGTGTGTCGCTGTAGCTGTGCCATTGTTTGTGCCTGTGCCTGTATGTGTGACTGCCTTTAACTGAGTGTGTGTGTACATGCCTGTAACCGAGTTTAAATTTCCCCCACCCCTTCCTGTCAAGGCCGCACTTTGACTGACAGACGCTCACTCACTGACAGACGCACACTCACTGACGACACATACACACTCACTGACTGACACATACACACTCACTGACTGACACATATAAACTCACTGACCAACACACACATTCACTCACAGACACACACACATTCACTTACAGACACACACAATTACACACTTACAGACACACACACACACACACATTCACTTCAAAATAAACACTCACAGACACACACACAGACATTTCCACTAACACTCACAAACTAATATTTTTTACATTTATTTTAAATCCACCCAGCCTCCCTGGGAAAGCTGGAGTGGATTTCTTACCAGCAGTCCAGTGTGGCTGCTGGGCAGGCAGGCAGGGGGCGCACAGGCTGAGTAAGCAGCGCTTAGTGATGCCGGGAGCCGGACTGACGTCATATTCTGGCTCCCGGCTTCATTAAGCGGCGCAGAGGAAGCTGAGCAGGAAGAGCTCAGGTGAGTATGCTCCTTCGCTGCCCGCTGCCAGCCTTGGGGGGGCTCAAAAGTGGCCAGCCGGTCAGCTCTTGAGCCCCCCAGGATGCGAGGCAAGCAAGGGATCTGCCTGGGGGTTTGGAGGGATGCTTTTTTTTGCCGCCCCCTGCAAAGTGGCGCCCAAGGCAGATGCCTTGTTTGCCTCGTGATACACACGTCCCCGGTGCCTGTGTGTGTTACTGTATTCAGGCAACTTGGTGGGAGGTGGGGGGGGCGCCGTAAAGACTTTTTGCACAGGGCGCCTAATTGCCTAAGGCCGGCCCTGCCTAGGCTCTCCTAACATATAGTCGGTTTAGATAGTTTGGTTCGAGTTCCTGAGCCCTTTTGTTCTAATGGTGAAAGAGCAGAGGTCTGTGGACCTCCAGATCTCCATGACTGATCCTCCTTACTATACTGTATTTTCTGCGAAAGGGAGCACTGACAGAGATCAGAGCTGGAAAGGGCACTGATACCTGCTTCTTCCCAATTACATAAGCTATGCAGAGAGGTTAGTAAAATGCAGGAGAACCCTGTTGCCAGTAGCTATCCCCAGGATATTTCCTGAAGTCTCAATACAGCTCTTTGGCCCTGTGGAGTGATAGAGATTCAATAAATGATACAAAACAAAATATATACACTTTTCATACCAAGAACCAAGCCAGCTACCTAAAGACAAATCGTTAATTATATTTCTATTATTATTTAAAATGAAAGAAAACAAATATTATCTCTGTGTCTATTAGTTTGTATTTTTTTACATAGATAGTTAAGTAAATATCTCTTTTTAGTGCATCTCCTGGCTTAACATCACTCTATATCGGCGATCACCTTCAGACCTCTTTGGTACAGCCCACCTGACCAAAAACCATGCATATAATAAAAAATTATATAAGCTTAAAAACTGCACTTAAAATATAATACATACAAAAAAAAGCAAGTATAACAATTACATTTTCAGTGGTAAAACAGTATAAAGCCTTAAGTAAAAAAATATAATAATAACATGCCACAATCTGTTTATATATATATAAAACATAATCCATATATCAGATCAGTGGAATTTCCAGATTTCTAGAAGTAATTGTTCTTTCCATGAAGAGTTCTGACCATATCGTTAGTGATCTAAAATGTGCCTTGCAAATATTAGATCCAGTTTGCAAGAGGCATTAAAGAATAAAGTATAATATTAGCGTTCACGACCGCCATCTAGCGTCCTCGATTGTCGATTTCTAGCAAGCAGACTAGTTTTATCTCTGAAATGACACTTTCTCAAATAAAAAACGTGTTCCTCATTCTGTGTCTCACGAGTTGCATGCAGCCCACTAGAGGTTCACAGGAAGCCACATTAGGCTCTTGACGTATGACCAGCCATGTACTAATGAGAGGTGTTCCATCACAAGTGAAACCAGGATGAGAATGCATTCCACACCCCTCTCCAGGTATTGCATTGCTCCATAGCTCAGCCCAGAAGTACAGGCACAAAGGATATTTAGTTTCCTCTGCGTGACCTGTCAGTCTGGCGTGTGCACTACTAGTGGTGGGGTCAGGAACTCAACATCATAAGCCATAAGATTCACTGAAAAAGAGTTATTAACCTATTTATATTCATTATAACATAATACTCAACAAGACTATAATACATGTTCAGTATGTGTAATATTTCATTTTCAACAGAAATATAAATCAAAGACAATTTTCCTTTAAAGATTAATGAAAATGGATGTAGAACATAATCAAGGGTTATATGCAATAATAAGGTTAATCAGCAGAAAAAAAACCGTCCTGTATTAATTCATCTGGTTTGTATTTTGTGTTTGGCAAAGATTGATTTTCATCACTTTCTTTAAACTTGTTTTTAGCTGTATTGCTTAAGATTCACTGTGAATATTTCATCTTCCTCTGCATAGCTGTATTGAGTGTTAAACCGTTCGACAGGCAGGGGTGCAACCAGTGTGAAGGTCATTGGTTATTCTGGCTGAGATTAGTAACACATGTATTGGATTCTTGTTGCAAGCATCGATCATTAAGTGAAAGAGTCCTGCATAGGATGAAAATAATGTATGTACACATTTATTTGTATATTCCGTCTAAAAATGTTTTTATGCCATCGATTGTATAGATTCACCCATTTTTACTGCCTTTTGTCACCATCTTGAGAGCATGCTAAAAGGTAAAACCTTTTCTATATATGAGAAGAATTTTATAATCTGATCTAATCTGATTCTATAATCACAGTTCTATGGAATTCTTCTAGTCGCGCCTGAAACCGCAGGCATTTTGACAGTATTTCTCCATAAACATAGTGACAGACAATGTTCGAGACCTAAGGTGAGATCCATTCGGTTATTTTAATGTACTACTTTTATAGTATTTATATTGAAATTTTGTGCAAAAAAATAAATATATATATATATATATATATATTTATACAAAAGGAAAAATTAGAGGAAAAGAAGAAAAAAGGGATGAGGGAGGCAGTAATTCAATGATCTGTAATATGCGGGGTATGAGGTACCTGGAATAAAAATAATTTTATATCTAAATCATAATAAATAGGTTAAAATATAAAAAAATTAAAAAAACAGTTTCCATACAACTTGCAGGGTTATTTACTAGAGTGAGAATCTTTGGGCATTCAAAGTGAATTTTAAATTTAAAGGGACACTATAGTCACCAGAAAAACTACAGCATAATGTACTGTCTATAGCCTGTCCCTGCAGGCTTTTTTTCTGTAAACACTGTCTTAAACACTGTCTAAACTGCTGTAGCTTTTATGGTGGCAGAAGTACAGTGCTGCCCCCCATTGTTAGCAGTCAAACCGTCAAATCGCTCCACTATAGAGAGCCGGAATCTCTGTCTGATCTAAACCCTGCACTGTATGACTAGTTCGTTGGCTAATAGCTCTGAGCCAGTAAGCGAAGCCCTGCACTGCCAAGCTTAGTTTAGACAGAGACGTTCCATGTCTCCGTTTGATATAGTTGAGGTGGGGCGCATGGCAAAGTCGACCCCAGGTGAGAAGTCAAACAGTTCTAAAACAGTTTGCTTATAATGTGGAGGCACTAGGACACTCCTGGCACTATAGTGGTTATGGTTATTATATTGTTCCTCTTAACAGTAATTCTTTGTGGACGGTGTAAGCGAGCTGGACAGAATTCCCATCCTTTGCTGCCTCGGTTGCAACAGTAATGTTGGATGCTGGTATAATACATTTAATAATTACAGCATTCTAAGTTCAGATATTGCAGTGTGTGAAGTTGTCACCAGACAACAAGTTAAGTTTTCAAATGCAGTGGGTCTGAGTTGAAGGTTTGTGCCTGATGCTCCCAAATATAGAATGAAGAAGTCAAGCTTGGATGTCACAATTCTTTCAGTATTTTCTGTAGGTGAACCTTGCATGGGAGCTTGGAAGAGAAATCTGTGCCACCCAAACTCTGGTCCCTGTGGGACGTAAAGGACATTACATACTGTTCCCACACTCAGATCAATGCTGATCCAGTAACATTATGTAGTGGTTATGTATAAGGAGCAATTCTGGGGCAAAATTCTAAAGGGGAGCAACAAGCGATAACATTCTACTGGTTACCATGGAGATTGTCATCTTCAATTGCACTTTTTAAATCCTTCCCCCCCCCGCACGATACAATCAAAACATAATAGCAGTATGTGTTAACAATACATCAATCAATACATCAATGTCTTCAGTCATACGAACATTTAGACAATATTTTAATATATTCACACACATCAGCAGAAATCTGTCTGTTTAACCTGTCCTTTTCATTTCACTGATGATGATCACCTTATTCATTTTGCTTTAAAACATCCATTTATATATATAGTCTGTTTCCCTGTCGGAAATACTGGGTATTGGAGGTATGTTATGTGTGGATCAAACTAAATTAAGTAGATAATAAAGAGTTTGGCGCTTAACCAGGTCAGGAAATATATCTTCCACAATATATTAGTATAATCCGCTGTAATACTGCTTTCAGTGTGCCAAGAAGACTAGTCATATAGTGATCATCTATGGTGTAATATAATTAGACTTTGAATGAGATTTGATCTCCAATGAGCATGTGCACACAAAATGCTCTTATATTTAAAGGGAGGTAGCTTTCTTTGGGTTTTAGCACTGGCTGCACATGATCACAGACAAGCTTTTCACATCTCTGCAACAGAGAAGCTGCCTTACAGTCCCTAAAGAAACCTATTCAGACACAAATCCAGATCTTTCATTCCTGCTCTGCTCCAAGGATGAACTATCAGTCAATGCGGAAGGGCATTAGCTGCCCACCTCAAGATGCCAATTGCACCAGAATACTGGAATCTTTAAGCACCTGGAATGATTCTTCAGAAGTCAGTTCTTATAAACTGGTAGAGCTGCCGCCAATTGTGACAACAGTAAGTTTGGAGACATTAATCCATTGTACAGCGCTACGGAATCTGATGGCTATATAAATAATAAAATAATAACAGAGAAATATATTATTAGTATTTAGATAGAGCCAACTTATTCCGCCGTGCCTTACAATATTATAAAAGGGGGAAATTTAACAATAAATGAGACAATTACAAAATGTTACAGGAATGAAAGGTTGATGAAGACCCAGCTCACACGAGCAGGGTTCTATTATTTTAGCATTAATAGAACAAATTCATGCTGTTTGGGATATACTAAAACTTTATAGTCAATATAACAGATTGGACTTTGATGCATAAAAGTTTAAACAACTCAACCTTTAAAAAAGACTTAACTCAATTTCATAAATCAGCATCTACGGGAGGATATTTTACATTTTTTTAAGTGACACTGGCCATTCTCTGAGTGGGCATTATCAGTAACACTGAAAGTATTCTGGCTGTTTTGCACAATCTATATGTTTCGCTTCAGATCTTAGGACAGGAATTCTAATTTCATCACAAGCTGATAATTCTCTGGTTTCAATTCATGAAAGAATGAAGTTGGAAGTGTATAATCCAGTGTTGATACTAAAGGTTTTTGCATGTGGACATTATGTATTTACTTATTTTAAAAAGTGAGAAAATTTGATTAGAATTTTAGTTATAAAGCACATTTTGAAATCAAGGATTTTGCAAGGGTTCAAAAATGAGATTTTTATTTGAAATCTCTGAATTTATTTACTAGCTGGAATTATACCATATATGTGTGAAATCAATATTGTTTCTTTAATATGGGGATTACAGCATTTACTCTTTAATTAACCTCTTATTCTCTGCATTGAACACTGAAAACAATTTGCATGGAATGTTTTAAAATTTACAACATGCAATAATTTGTCATCTTTCTTTGAAGGAGAACGGACTATGAAAGTATCATAATGTTTAGCCATGTAAAAAAGTAAATGGCCGTCGCTGTTAAATAATATTAAATAATGCAATTATGGGTAAAATAAATGACATCTAGTCCAAGATCTATCTATCTATCTCTCTATCTCTCTATCTATCTATCTATCTTTCTATCTATCTATCTATCTATCTATCTATCTATCTTTCCATCTCTCTATCTCTCTATCTATCTATCTATCTATCCATCTATCTATCTATCTTTCCATCTCTCTCTCTCTCTCTCTCTCTCTATCTATCTATCTATCTATCTCTCTATCTATCTATCTATCTTTCCATCTCTCTCTCTCTATCTATCTATCTATCTATCTTTCCATCTCTCTCTCTCTCTCTCTCTCTCTCTCTCTCTCTATCTATCTATCATCTATCTATCTATCTATCTATCTTTCCATCTCTCTATCTATCTATCTCTCTCTCTCTATCTATCTATCTATCTATCTATATTTATCTGTCTATCAATCCATATGGGGTATACCCAGAACCTCTGCATGATGCCACTCAGGTCTAAACATCTTCCATGCGACCTATAATACAGTTTAGATGTTTAGTACACAATTAAATATCTAATATCGGGTGGTTGTTTGGTTTGGAACATCTGCAGTTTAAAGAGACACTCCACTATCCAAATACAAAACTAAAATCATTATTTACTAGATATTCCCCCAATAAAAACATTCATGCATTTATTTATGCATTTTTCTCATTAGTGTATATATATAGATCTCTTGTCTGTAGCCTTTTGGAAGCCCATACTTACTGTGGCTGTCCAATCACAGACTTCCCAATGCAGCTCAATGAGAAGTCTTTGCAAAGCAGGTGCTCTGGGTAATTGCTGCCTCTTGAGTTTAGCTCCACTGAGCTAACCAAACCAGGAAGTAACAGGACCGGTTATCTGATTGACAGCCAGTGGGCTGTAATAAGGTCAATTTGCAAAAATGAAACCTGTACTTTTTTTGTAAAATGAAAAAATAGCGGACACTCAGCTAAAGTTCTTTAGGTGTTTAGAATGTTCCTTCAAAAGATTTGCCTCTAGATTTCAGCAACATGTTTGAATATGTCCAGCCCAGTCTAGGATTGATAGGAGAGCCGGTTTTGGTTATCAGGAAGAAAAATCCATGCTAGCAGAGTCTTTAATACATTAAACCAATAGCAATTCATGTTGTCACAGTGTAGTCCTGAAGGAAGCAATGCCATTGGGAAAGATTACGAGTACTGTTGCTTCTGTAGAGTTTCATGTTGGAGTAGAGATTCTAAGATATTTTTAGATTTAACTGGTTAATTGCTGCATTATAATGATAGCATGGAGTGTTACTGGTCTTTGGGGGGGGGTTAATGAACCCCTTAAAAGAACCAATGACAAATATTTTTACCATCATAATAATCTGGTCATTGAAGACCCTATCCCAGCATGGGACATCCTTGTTATTAAGCGGATGCAGCTCTCTACAGCAATGCTGTCAAATTCCCCTATGAAAACAGTGCTTGAAGTTTTTAAGATGGCATAGACCAGGCTCTGAAGATCTGGAATACATCTCCCATGATGCCCATAGAGCCGTATTGCTGGCAGAGCATCAGTTGAGATGTAGTCCACAACTTCTGGATTGCTGAAGGTTGCTTAGCCCTGGTCATTAAGTGGTTAATAGTATATCATCTTGTGAAATACAATGCTGGAATATAAAATATATAGAATACTGAAGATAAAGAATTGCTTCAGGTTTTGTTAAATGTTCAGGGCTAGTGTTCTATCAAAAAAACCCTACCCCATGAAAATTCCCTACCACCGTCACTTCCAGTGACACGGCCACACCACAAGTTAGCTGTAGGACGGAATACCTGTGTGGGGCATGGTATTCTCATGGTGTGCAGTGCGCTTGCAGAGTGCCCAGGAATATTGCGAGTGCAGGGGGCCTATGCTATTGAAGTCACAAAAGCACATATGCAGTATTAGGGTCAGTGGTGTATCCTGATTTTGTGCTGCCCTAGGCAGGACAAAACTCAGGCGCCCCGCGCCAGCCCCCCCCCAAGCCTTCTAAATACACACACACACACATTCACTGACAGATACGCATACACTCGCTAACAGAAACACACACACACACACACTAACAGACACACTCACACTCATTAACAGACACACACTCACTGACACACACACTCACAGGCAAACACACTCACACTAACAGACACACTCACACTAACAAACACACACACATTAACAGACACACACTCACTGACACACACACTCACAGGCAAACACACTCACACTAACAGACACACACACACTAACAGACACACACTCACAGGCAAACACACACTCACCAGTGGCTGCTGGGCTGGGCGGGCGGGTGGGCGGCTGGTGAGGGAGCACTTCCTCTGAGCTGACTGCTCAGCTCCCTCGTGCGCCGCAGAGTGAGGCTGGGAGCCTGGTTGATGATGTCATATTCCGGCTCCCAGCCTCACTCTGCGGCGCGCGAGGGAGCTGAGCAGACCGCTCAGAGGAAGTGCTCCCTCGCCAGCCGCCCGCCCAGCGCCTCCCGCCAGCCCAGCGCCCGGCCGGTCTGTTAGCTGCGAGGCTAACTTGGCATTTGCCCTGGGCATTTGTGGGGCGGCGTTTTTTGCCGCCCCCTGGAAAATGCCGCCCAAGGCAAATGCCTTGTTTGCCTCGTGGCTAAAACGCCCCTGATTAGGGTAGGGTATTTCATGGTAGTAATGCGCATGCGCCAGAAACAGCGGTGTAATACGCATGCTCGGTGCCACTGCGCAGCTGATTCTGGCACATGCACACTACTGCCGTGAAAATACCCTACCCTAATACTGCGCATGTGCAGTTCCACATCATAATGACATGCCTCCCTCCTTTATTTAGCATTTTTACTTCTGTTAACTCTTTGAGTTTATTTGAAAATAAATAATTCAAAGAAATGACAGCACACAAACCATTTAACAAGGGGTACACTGAGCAGAAATGTCGTTCAACATCCACTCCTTGCGTCCATGTTAGATAATTGCTTTTGGGATAAGTCTCTAGAAATGCAATCAGCATCTATTTTGTAAATACACAAAGTTTGACTTGCTAATGGTAATAGAGATTACAATCTATTTCATGGGCAATTATTTTACAATTCAGAGTAAAATCGGGCAGTTATTTAAATAACGATTCAAGTTGATTGTTATATATTTAATAAGTCAATAATGCATTTGGCAAAATATGAAACTCCATAAAAAATTTGTATTGTTGATTTAAAATATAAAATCATATATCATTAAAAAAAACCTACTTCAAAGATGAACTCCTAATTATGAAAGTGATTAAAAATGAGCGATTGCTTTTATAATTTCTTTACAGATTCTTATAATTTTTTTGCATGCTCTGTGCAAATCATGCGAGTTAGTTAACCCCTACAGTGCCGAACACATGACGCATGCGTATATACAACAGAGCATGAGAAAATGTGTGGTGTGCATGTGTTTATGCAGAATTTTCTATGTAAAGGCACAAGCATGAATGGCCGTGCTCAATGGATCATGGGATTGTGGTTTTCCTTGCAAAAGTGTTTACTGGGATGTAGGATTAAGAACTTTCCTGTTTAAATGTTAAGAAATAAAATGAATTAAAAACCCATGCAGTGCAGACATCCACGTCATTTTGTTCTGTTTTCTTCTTATCTCATGTGATCTGAGTGTAGGTTTATGCAATAATATCAGGAAACGATTTAACTGAGGACACATTTAACCAGGTTTCAAGAGTATTGAGAAACGCAGAATGCCCAATATGATGTTGGCTTTCTATTGATCTTGGCATTCCTTCCTCGTCCCTTCTGCGCATTAAATACGATGATCGCGAAAAGTTCTTCTCATGGGAAAGCATTGACTAATACTTCTCTCTGGACGCTCTAACTTGAAGGATTGTTCTAAGGGAGTGTCCAAAGAAGGACTCCTGACTGTCAGCTTGGCTCCCAAATTAATTTATAAAAGTGTCAATAGTTCATGAAATTGTAAGTTTGGTGGACAGGGACAAAGTAGAAACGGACACTAAAATAACCCAGGGCACTTCATCTGGTCTGGGTACGTTGGTCCTTTAGGTTTAACCCTGCAATGTAAAACTGCGTTTTTGTGTTTTTTTAGAATTGCAATGTGTATAATCCACCTCCACTGCCTGTTACACTAACAGTAGCTGGAGATACTTCTCGGCACTGATCTTGTAAAACTCGGTCACATGACATGGAAGCACCTGTGGAGAAGCATCGATTTGACGTACTCAGCGAACATTGCTTCTCTTTGGATTGGACCATCACCGATAACGCCATGCCTCCTCAATTATAGAAAAAATACTTTTTTTAATTAAGTAAACTTATTTTAAGTATTTTATTACACACGGAGGGGAAACCTCTATAGGTACAGGTACAATGACACTATAGTGCTAGGAATGCTGGTTTGTATTATTGGCCAACCCATCCATAGGTCCTGATGGGACCATGACTCCAGGCGGAACTATGACATGGGCGGCATTTTGCCGACTCTTAGTGATATACCTCGTATTTCCTTATCAGTCCCTCTGCCTGGGCAGGCTTGGAGGCCACCCAAAATTCTAAAAATCAGGGATGTCAGAAAGGGGAGGCTGAGATGGGTTGCCAGGGACTCGGGATTTGGCTCACGTTTCCCACTGAAGTTCCAGCACTCTGACATTACTTGCAGTGCATGTCGGAACTTCAACGGTCACTTTAACTTGCAGTTATTTGCGTCAGGGACAGGGCTTTGAGCTGCTGCCTAGTTGGATAAGCAGAATTACCCTCCATGTCCTGGTATGTATGTGCTGCAGCAGGCATCCACATGGCAGCACAGTAAGCAGGGCACAGATCTCGGAGCAGGGCAGGAGTAAGGACTGAGCCAGCAGGTGAAAAGCGAAGCCGCTAGGAGTCACACTGCATTCCCAGCACACACACAGACACACTGCATCCTCAGCACACACACTGAAAAAACTGCATCCCAAGCACACAGTCAACACTACATCCCCAGCACCAGGGCCGTCTTTAATATTGACCGGACACTGGGCAACCATTTGCTTGGGGCCCCTGGACTCTGCCCCCTGCCAGACATACTAACACACATACACAGAGACATACACTGACAGACATACTGACACACACGCTGACACACACACTGACAGACACATATTGACAGACATACTGACACACACACAGAAACATACACTACAGACATACTGACATATGTAGACACATATACTGACACACATACACAAAGACATACAATGACAGACATACTGACACACATACAGACACATACAATAACAGACATACTGACATATACAGACACATACAATAACAGACATACTGATATACACAGACAGACATACTGACACAAGCACAGACACATACACTAACAGACATACTGACAAACATACACTGACAGACATACTGACAAACATACACTGAAAGACATACTGACACAAACACAGACAGACATACTGACACAAACACATACACTGACAGACATACTGACAAACATACACTAAAATACATACTGACAAACATACACTAAAAGACATACTGACACAAACACAGACAGACATACTGACATAAACATACACTGACATACATACTGACAAACATACACTGAAATACATACTGACACAAACACAGACAGACATACTGACATAAACATACACTGACAGACATACTGACAAACATACACTAAAAGACATACTGACACAAACACAGACAGACATACTGACATAAACATACACTGACAGACATACTGACAAACATACACTGAAAGACATACTGACACAAACACAGACAGACATACTGACATAAACATATACACTGACAGACATACTGACATAAACATATACTGACAGACATACTGACACAAACAGACAGACATACTGACATAAACATACACTGACAGACATACTGACAAACATACACTGAAAGACATACTGACACAAACACAGACAGACATACTGACATAAACATATACTGACAGACATATTGACAAACATACACTAAAAGACATACTGACACAAACAGACAGACATACTGACATAAACATACACTGACATACATACTGACACAAACATATACACTGACAGACATACTGACAAACATACACTGAAAGACATACTGACACAAACACAGACAGACATACTGACATAAACATATACTGACAGACATACTGACAAACATACACTAAAAGACATACTGACACAAACAGACAGACATACTGACATAAACATACACTGACATACATACTGACACAAACACATACACTGACAGACATACTGACATAAACATACACTGACAGACATACTGACAAACATACACTGACAGACATACTGACAAACATACACTGAAAGACATACTGACACAAACACAGACAGACATACTGACATAAACATACACTGACATACATACTGACACAAACACATACACTGACAGACATACTGACATAAACATACACTGACAGACATACTGACAAACATACACTGACAGACATACTGACACAGACACTGACAGACATACTGACATAAACATACACTGACAGACATACTGACACAAACACATACACTGACAGACATACTGACAAACATACACTGAAAGACATACTGACACAAACACAGACAGACATACTGACATAAACATACACTGACAGACATACTGACACAAACACAGACACTGACATAAACATACACTGACAGACATACTGACAAACATACACTGACAGACATACTGACAAACATACACTGAAAGACATACTGACACAAACACAGACAGACATACTGACATAAACATACACTGACATACATACTGACACAAACACATACACTGACAGACATACTGACAAACATACACTGAAAGACATACTGACACAAACACAGACAGACATATTGACATAAACATACACTGACATACATACTGACACAAACACATACACTGACAGACATACTGACATAAACATACACTGACAGACATACTGACAAACATACACTGACAGACATACTGACACAGACACTGACAGACATACTGACACAAACACATACACTGACAGACATACTGACAAACATACACTGAAAGACATACTGACACAAACACAGGCAGACATACTGACATAAACATACACTGACAGACATACTGACAAACATACACTGAAAGACATACTGATACAAACACAGACAGACATACTGACATAAACATACACTGACAGACATACTGACACAAACACAGACACTGACAGACATACTGACATAAACATACACTGACAGACATACACTGACAGACATACTGACACAAACACAGACACTGACAGACATACTGACATAAACATACACTGACAGACATACACTGAAAGACATACTGACACAAACACAGACAGACATACTGACATAAACATACACTGACAGACATACTGACACAGACACTGACAGACATACTGACATAAACATACACTGACAGACATACTGACACAAACACATACACTGACAGACATACTGACATAAACATACACTGACAGACATACTGACACAAACACAGACACAGATAGACATACTGACATAAACATACACTGACAGACATACTGACAAACATACACTGACAGACATACTGACACAAACATACACTGACAGACATACTGACACAAACACAGACACAGACAGACATACTGACATAAATTTACACTTTTAACCCCACCCACAAGTTTCCTACCTTGGAAGGTGGTTCCCCAGGTGTCCAGACTGAAGGCTGTTGGGATCTGCCTCTCCTGGCAAGGGTCCCTCCTTCGTCTCCCGCGCGGCTCCTCTCCTTAGTGGGAGGAAGTGACTCGCAGCCGTCACTTCCTCCCAGCGCTGCCGAAAAGCAAAGGGCCCGGTCGCGCTGTTAAAGTGCTACAGTGTGTGACCGGGCCCCTGCTTACAATACCCACCCGGTGGCCTGCTTAATGTGGGGGCCGGTGGCCCCATGGGAGAAACAATTGTTGAGGGCAGCGGGGCCCACGGGGAAGCTGCCTTGGGCCCCCCAAGAGTAACTGGGCCCGGGGCAGCTGCCCCGTTTGCCCCGCGTTAAAGACGGCCCTGCCCAGCACACACAAACACATACTGTATCCCAAGCACACACGATGACACACTGCATCACAGAGCACACACAGACACACACTACATATCCAGCACACACAAACAGATACACACTGAATCCCCAGAACACAATCACATATTTCATCCCCAGTACACACAAACACACACAGATACACACTGCATTTCCAGCACACATAGACACACTCCATCCCCAGCACACACAGATGCACTTTATTATCAGCACACACAGATACACTGCATCCCCAGTACACACACAGACACACTTCCTCCCCAAAACACACACAAACACACTTCCTCCCCAGCACACACAGATCCATACTGCATCCCCAGCAAACACTCAGACACACTGCATCCCTGGCACAAACAGACACACACTGCATCCCCAGCACACACAGACACACTTCATCCCCAGCACACACACACACACTTCAACCTAACACACACAGACACACTACATCCCTAGCACCCACAGACAAACTACATGCCTAGCACACACAGACACACACTGCATTCCCAGCACACAGATACAGACTGTATCGCAGCACACACACAGAAACACTGCGCATTATCTGCACACATATTTTAACGACAGAATAGTCTAAATAAGACTGTGGCCATTTCTGAATCTTGTTGCTACTATTTAGTGTTCCCCCGCTTTTTGTTACCATGCCTGACACTTCTTTTAAAGAGCAGTGACTGTTTAGTGACTGCGAAATATGGAGGACCGCACCCATCCACACACAGGTCCTCTATAGCAAGTGTCATGAAAATTATTTAAATTGTAGGAGATGTGCTTAGAGAAGATGGGCAGCGATGAAATTAATTTTGAAATTCAAAATGTTAGGAACTGTAAAAAGTGGGGATTTAAATACAGTATTGCCATACACTGATCACCCAAAGCAATAAAAAAAACCGCCTAATGTTGTGTAGGTCCCCTTCACGCAACCAAAAGAGCTCTGATGCATCAAGGCATGGACTCCACAAGACATCTGAACTATGGTAAGTGGCACCAAAGCATTGGCAGCAGATCCTTTAAGTCCTGCAAGTTGTGAGGTGGGGCCTCCAAGGAATCAGATTTTCTTGTCCCAGCACATCCCACAGATGCTCAATTGGATTGAGATCTTGGGAATTTGGAGGTCACGGAAACACCTTGAACTCTTTGACGTGTTCCTCAAACCATTCCTGAACTATTTTTGCAGTGTGGCAGGGTGCATTATCCTGCTGAAAGAGGTCACAGCCATCATCATCAGAGAACAACATTGCCATAAATCTCTAGATAGGTGGTACGTATCAAAGTAACATCCACATGAAAGCCAGGACCCAAGGTTTCCTAGTAGAACAGGGAATTTTGTGTTGGTTCATATATGTTTTAGGAGGACTGTTAGTGTTCTCTAAGACTGGAGATTTTATACTTGAAGATTGATTGGTTTTTGTGAATATTTAGTTTTTTTTCCTGATGTTATATGTATCTGTAAGGATTTAAATATTTGAGCCTGAGTACTCTCTGTTTGTGTTTGTGTAAGCTGATACGATTGATGATAATTTGTAGCCGCTACAACCTACAGGCTGTTGTTCATAGTAAAATATTGTGACTGCCTTTACCAACAAGATTGTAAACAAGCCGTTAGTTTACAGAAGAGACACAGTGCTCTCCTTATACAGCTCATTAGAAAAGAACGGCACATGAAGCAGAGACAACGATGCTCTTGTATCATAACCTATACAATGAACTTTGATAGTTATGGTGTCCCTTTAAAGTGGATTTCCTATTTGACCTGTGGGTGACAATATCATTATCAGGTAAGTTTACATTTAAACTACTTACTGTGCAGCTAAAATTGCCAACAAATGTATACAATCCTTCCCAAAAGTCAGCAAAAAGTTTAGTTGCTATTAATTGGGACTAGCACTAGTTTGGCAGAAACCCCATTAATCACCGCATGTGATAATCAGCGGTAGCACAAACCTAAGATCATGAATTGGATAAAAAGAAAGCCAGTTATTTTTTTGCAAGACTACATTTTTTTTTTTTTGTATTAACTGGTTCCATCAACCTGCAATTTTGAAGGTGATATATATATAAAAAAGGCAGTGGTTTCTCCATTAACTACAAATTTGTAGCCTATTTTTCATACAAAATGCACATTTTAACGCAACACTCCAAGAATCATAATCACTACAGTGTGTCTCTCCCCTCTTCACTACTTCAACAGAGATCTACAAGATCTTCATCTGAGCTAAGCTTGGCAGTGCAGGACTTTGCTCATTGGCTAAGAGTGATCAGCTGACACTGGGATTTAACTCATTGACTGAAAGTGATCAGCTGACACTCCCAGCCAATGAGCTACTCCTGCACTGCAGAGCTTATCTCAGTAGAGCTAACAGAAGTTCCTAAGCAGAAACTTTTGGCTCATTGTTGGCAAGGAGTTACACTCGTTGACTCCAGGTAAAAAGTCACAATGTTGTGAAGCAGTATGACTACTTACAACGCTGTGCCTCCAGGCCACTCCTGGCACCATAACCACTACAACATGCTGTAGTGCATATGGTGCATGGAGTGTTCCTTTAAGGTGGTAGCTTCACAACAATCAATATCTTTATACTATTTCAATTAGTACAATAAATGTGAACATGACTTGTAAATCAGCAATACAGTTAGCACAAAGCATTCCCAGAGGTTTTAAAGTTTCAGCGAGCTCAGAAGAAGTCACATTGGAAACATTCAAACTTGAAACCAATTAACTGCTTTTGTAATAATTTAATGAGCTGAGATTTGCCCTACGATTCTATTGCAAAGAAAAGTTTAATGTTATGGCAGCAAGAGAACAGAGTTAAATATTTTCTTATCTGATGGAAGATTAATTAGTTTGTTACTAAAACATGTATCTAGACGGCCTGACCTACTGTGTCCACCATTGAGCAGAGCAGAGCTCGTTCAAATGTCAATATCATTCTTTTTTGTAAATAAAGTCCAATAAGCACTAATATTATTGTTCCATATTTTTATGTTATATTTGAGTCGTATCGTAAGAAAGAAAAATAATTAAGGATATTTTATGTTTTTTTGTTTATATGTGTCTGTGATTTAGGCAAGTCTGTCTTACTTCGTTGCCAACTGTCCCATTTTTGCCGGGACTGTCCCGGCAAGCTGGAGTCTGTCCCAGGCAATTCACTCTCCCGGGACAGTCCCGGCAACTTGCTGGGCCATGTGCTTTTATTATGTTCCCTCGGACTATAACAGCCTGTTACAGTCTGAGGGACTTCAGGACAAAACTGCTGAGAGATGCTGGGGGCTGCAATGAGGCTGCTGGGGGTGGGAGGAAGCACTAACAGTCTCCCTTCCGAATTCCCAGTTCTCCGGCACACAGGCTCTTGCTCTACCTCGGGTGAGCAGGCTCCACCCCATACGATGCAAGCTTCATCCATGCATGCAAGCCCTGCCTCCCTTCACGCAGCTCTGCCCCCACCATTAAGCAGCAGACCTTGCTGCAGTTGGAAGAGGCCAGAAAATGTCTACCTGACCTCCAGTCAGTGCAAGGTAAGCTTGATTTAGTCAGGTGCGAGTGTGTGTTAGTAAGAAAGCTTGTGCGTGCCAGTGAGCTTGTGTGTAGTGAGCTTGTATGTAGTGAGCTTGTGTGTGTGTCAGTGCCCAGGCCGACAGAGAAGACCTGCTTTCTTGCTATGGGCCCTCTTGGGCCGTGAGGAGATCAAAGATCTCCCGCACTGGCCCAAGGGCCTTCGTTAGTGACAGGGAGGGCTGGAGGACCTGGGAGGCAGAGCGTTCCTCCCGCGAGCATGCTGTGCAGAGCGTTGCCGCATGTTACCATGGCAATGCTCCGACACAGCATTCTGTACGCGGGAGGAGTGAAGACAGCCTGCAGAGGAGCTGCAGACTATAGACAACTCATTACCACTGGACCACCATGGCACAGCACCCCTCACACACACAGTACCCTCACACACAGCACCTCTGACACACATACACAACACCCCTCACACACACTCAGCACCCCTCACACACACTCACCACCCCTCATACACTGCACCGCTAACGCACACACTCTGCACCCCTCACACATACACAGCACCTGTCACACACAGCACCACTCAAACACACACTGCACCCCCCCCACACACACACACACACAGCACACACACAGCACTCCTAACACAAAACACCTCTCACACACAAAGCACCCTCACACACACATAGCACCTCTGACACATACGTTAGCACCTCTCACACATACACAGCACCCCTCAACACACAAAGCACCCCTGACACAAAACACTCCTCACACACACACACACATCACCCCTCACACATACACTGCACCCCTCACACGCACACACTGCACCCCTCACACACAGCATCCCTACACACAAACACACAGAGCATTCCTACGCACCCCTCACAAATAGCACCACTATACACAAACACATGCACTGCACATCTCACTGCAGTCTGTGTGTATTCAGCAGTCTCTTTGTGTATTCAGCAGTCTGTATGTATTCAGCAGTCTGTGTGTGTGTATAAAGCAGCCTGTGTGCGTTCAGCAATGTGTGTGTTCAGCAGTCTGTGTGTGTGTATTCAGCAGTCTGTTTGCATTTATCAGCTTCTCAGTGTGTGTTCAGCAGTGTGTGTGTATTCAGCAGTCTCTGTGTGTGTGTTCAGCAGTCTGCAAGTGTGTATTCAGCATTCTGTATGTATTCAGTAGTCTGTGTGCGTGTATAAAGCAGCCTGTGTGCGTTCAGCAGTATGTGTATGTATTCAGCATTCTGTGTATATACAGCAGTCTGTGTGTGTGTATTCAGCTGTCTCTGTGTGTGTTTTTTGTGGTGTATTCAGTGTACTGTGTGTACTCAGCAGTCTGTTTGTGTGCACTCAGCAGCCTGTTTGTGTGTACTCAACAGTCTGTGTGTGTGTATTTAGCAGTCTCTGTGTGTGTATTCAGCAGTCTGTGTGTGTGTATTTAGCAGTCTCTATGTGTGTTTGTTGTGTGTGTATTTAGTGTACTGTGTGTATGTAGTTTGCATTCTGTCTGTGTGTACACAGCAGTGTTTCTGTGTGTATTCAGCAATCGGTGTGTGTGTATTCAGCAGTCTGTGTGTATGTATTGTATGTACGTATTGCATTTGTTGGAGGTACCAATAAATATAAACTTAATTTTTATTGATAATTGAATATTTTATTCCTGTGAATTGTTGTGTAGGAAGGGCCCCAGTACACTACTTTGCCCAGGGGCCCATAACACTGTTAAGATGGCACTGCTTCTGTAGTGAGCTTGTGTGTGTCACTGAGCTTGTCTGTAGTGAGCGTGTGTGTGTCAGTAAGCTTGTATTTAGTGGGCGTGTGTGTGTCAGTAAGCTTGTATTTAGTGAGCTTGTGTGTGTCAGTGAGCTTGTCTGTAGTAAGCTTCTGTGTGTCACTGAGCTTGTCTGTAGTGAGCCTTGTGTGTCTATACACATGAGTTTAAAATTACCATCTCAATTCCCTGTAATTCTCTCTTTATTGAGTAGACTCTGTAATTTGCACTGTGATAAGTAGGCGGATATTAATTATGTGGGTTGGACGTAGTGAGCGGAGCTTTGCGACAGTGGGTGTGGTACATTTTCAAGGTACAGTAGTAATTGGTGGCTGTGCTGCAAAGTGTCCATGGAATTATTTTTTAAATGTTGGCAGCTAATTCTGCTTATTGATATTTTCTATTTTTGTAATGGTTTGGGGTGAATTGGCTCGGTATGCAGAGGAAGGACAAGAACTGGGAAGCAAAAGGAAAGTATTAACAGGATAATACAGGCAGGACCAGCACACAGATAGTCTTTAGCAGGTAATCAAGTAGTTAAAGGTTAAGCAGGCAATCTAGGCAGGATCAGGCAGACTGAGGTTGACCAGGGGTCCAGGCAGGCAGAGGTTAACCAGGCAATACAGGACAGGATGAGGCATGCAAAATAATAATCAGGGATCCAGGCAGGATCCGGCAGGCTGAGGTTAACCAAGGCAGGTTCAAGCAGGGCAAGGTTAACCAGACAAGTGAGAGTTAATTCAGATATGAGGCAAAGGAGGCTTGTAACCTCTAGGACTTCACAAGACAACTGTGCAAAGAACACAGGGTGGTCTGGGTTTAAATAAGGGAGAGGGAATATGGGCCTTCCCACAAGGAGGGGCAGATGGGCCTATTTAAGTGAATGGCCCCATTTAGGTGAGTAGAGGTCCATGCTCCCTATGTGGGTGGGACACTATGCCTGTCTGCCCACTCAACCAGTTGTTTCCCACACTGCTCCCAAATATACTGGGTTAGATCCTCCAGATTTTAACACTCTGAGGGGATCCTGGAGCACTGTAGCTCCCCTCCTTCGGCTGACGTTGGTGGGGGAGGAGTGAAGGTGTACCGAGCCAGAACCAAGGGACATCGTTGCTGGACCCAGGTCAGTGACAGAAGGGGTTTATAACCCCTTCTGCACCACGAGGGGGGCCGTGAGAGAAGGTAAAGCTATAGTGCTAGGAAAACAAGAATGTTTTCCTTCCACTATAGTTTTCCTTTAATAAAATAAAAGGAACAGATCAGGTCTGTGAGTTTATAGTGTAGTGTTGGCACTACTTGTGTATAGAATGTTAGTAATAGGACTCAAGAGATCACACTTTAAAAGGAAGTAAGGAGGCTGAGAAAAATGGTAACAGAGTAGAAGGGTATTAAATAATCTCCGCTTCTTTCAATCTCCTGTACGGAAGACTCCATGAAACCCTGTGACCAATAGTATCTTACAACTTAAATACAAATGGTGCACTGAAATGAATACCTATATATTTCTATATTATAAATATAATCTGTAAAACTGATTATTCAAAGTGACTGGGTTTATGTTGCTAAAATCAAAATGCAGCTTGCATGAACATTCATTCTCACCAAGTGTGGGGTAACGTCAATTGTCATTGCTTTGGTTACAGTGGCCAAAGCAATATTGGGTAAGTAGTCAGCAGATTTGTGCATAGTGTTGGTGGGATGGTTTGAATAGGTTTTTTAAGTTGTTAGAAGGTCTCAGATGGGGGTGGGGCCTGACCACGGAGCAGAGCAGATGCATGCTGCTGCAGCTCCTGCTTCTGGTAGCAAATTTTACAGATTATCGATGAAACAAAGCAATTCCAGACCCAATACCTGTTACAGGGTGACAAGGGGCAGCATGCTCTATGTACCAGTACCAAACATGCGGCCTACAAACCTGGCTGGAGTGGGAGAGACGGCCGCCCTCCCGCCGAGGCGCGCAGCAGTGCTGACAAGCAAGGAACCCTGTTCCCACCCCTATGGACCGGCAGGGGTTATCCCGGTCCCCAGCGACCTGATAGATGCTCCTTCATTGACGTCCACTGCCCACGATGGTCTGCGACCCGAACAAGGTGGGCCTAGCAACAAGTCCCCATTACCTCTGGCACATGTGGTCCCCGACAGGACGATGGTGGAGTGCTCCCTCTGACGTCTCAACGAGATATTCCAGCGATTCTGGGACCAGCTGGAACAATGTCTGGTACCACAGTCGCCTATTATCGCAACGGAGGTGTGGAGGGATGGTGACTGAGGGCCAAGCCGGCCTCTCTCGGGCAGAATCCTGCACAGAGCACAAGCCTGCCTATGTGGCCCGAAGGCCATGCGGAGGATAACTCCACGGAATCGCCCATGACGCCAGAAGACCACCTGCCACTGGCAGCGGCAGAACATCAGGGTCTTCCACAACTCTCCCAAAGGGAAAGACCCGGCCGCACAGTGTACCCGAGTCTGTGGATCATGGATGCGGCCCTTCCTACAGGCCTGGGGCTTGAGAGGGGACATTGCCTTATGGATCCTCCATACCGCCGCTGTTTCACTGCCTAGTCTAGGCATTGGCTGACTGTGGACATGGTACGGGCATTACCAGCTGCTGCTTTTACTGCATAGCGGAGTAACGGCTGCCAACCATTGCTTCCCTCATACATGTGGACACTCCAAGTACTCTTATCGTATTATTTTTGCTTTAAACAGTAGTTTAAGTTCACTTGCGAAGCTTTACATGTGCAGAAAGGGTTACAGTTTGTTGGGTCTTAGGGGCCTATTTAACCTGCATTGTATATTTATCTCCCACACCAAGTATTATAAGACTGATTTACTATTTACTGCACAGAACTCCCCTGCTTATAATACACACGAGATGAGCAACTATAGTTTCAGATAGCATTGCGGGTAGAGTACAGTCTGCTGATCTGATATGCTGCGCAGACGGGCCAGATCGTGTGGCACTAAGGATGCTTAGCAGTGGTGGAATTCATTTATCTCAGAGCACAGTGTTAGTTAGGCATGACAGGCTCCACGTACACAGGCTTCATAACATACTTGTTACCACTTTGCTTTCGCACTTTCTGGTTATTAGCAGGTATTGGGAAGTCCTGCTGGTTCACTGCTGCCGTACATTTAGTTATTTTAGAGAGCACCTACACCTGTTTTTTCTATTCATAACATACTTGTCTGTTTCTCAGACCTCGATAAGCCGGGTACTAAAGTTAGACCTGGAAACCTAACAAGTAATTTCGTTTACACTGCTGCAGATTGTCATATCTAACCTGATTTATCTTGTCCTTAATACCTATTATCACAAGCATGTAACAATATATATACTACGCCAGTACTCCTACTAACGCCTAACATACCGTATTCCTACTGGCAACTATTTTATTTTATTTTATCGCGCACTCACATTCAGGCACTTATACATGCCAGTTACTCCGCTATTGTTTAGCGTAAATTGTCTCGCCAGGCATATTTGTTGTTATCAAAATTATTTCTACACAATAATGTGCTGTATACTTAACTGCCCTTTACCAACTTATCCAACTGTGTATACAACTTATCTTGTCACTGCTGTCGGGGCAGTGCACGATTGTATGTTACTCTGAAGCACACAAAAAAAAAAAGATTAAGGAGAGAGCGCAGGTAACTTGTTTTTCTTTGGTTTTTACTATATTTTGGGGCTGATGTGTACTGTAGTCTTTCCTGCGGCCAGTAGTGATGGGAGTGAGCGCAGGACTTATCGTTCTGCATTTATATAATTAATTGGACCTGGAAATGTTTTGAAATGTTAGTTAAAATGCTGCCAAGTGCTCTTAGTTGGATGCTTGAAGAACGTGAACCAGTGTTGTTAGGTCTTCTGTTTTTGCTGTCTTGTCAACTTATTTCAGATGACCCCACCTGTCAACCTGAGGCGTGTTAATTCCTGCGGGAAAATTGAGGTAGCAAAAGCAAATTGATATTTATTGGTATTATTTTGCAACATCTATAGCATGCGCCATTCTAGAACATTCACATTTTTGTTCTTCAGCTAATCCAGTGTTGCTTTGGTTGGTGGTTGTGCTTAGGATCACTATCCAGGTGAATTTCTTTCTAAGCTTCCAAGGCTTTTGTGCACTTATACAGATATTTATTTTTTAATTTCACTCACTCCTTCTTTCCTTTTGAAAAATATTTTAAAAAATATGAAGCCTATCATCGATGGTGGGAACTTGTACAGCTTGTATGTGCTCACCACGTGAGTCCACACTCTACATATCTAGCCAAGTAGATGACAAAACAGCATTCCTGTAATGTCGGTCACCAGGAGAAGAGCTTGAGCTGCAGTGATTTTTACAAATCTTCTTAAGAAATTGAAAAAGTAACATGTAATACTAATTATAATGAGAACAATATTATAAAGATGATGTAGAAGATAAACAACAGCAGTAACTACTTAAAGGGAAACGAGAGTGCCAGGAAAACAAACTCGTTTCCTGGCACTATGGCTTCTCCTCCATCTTCCATCTCCATCAACCCCCCCTTCCCTCCCCCCGTGGTGCAGAAAGGGGTTAAAACTCCTTCTGTCACTTACCTAGGCCCAGCGCCAAAGCCCCTTCAACCCTCCCCCCCCCACCGACACCAGTCTGCGGGGGACACCTAATGTGCATGCTGGATGTCCCCATGCATAGCGACTAACAGCCTGGAAAGTCACCTAACAGCCTGGAAATCCCTCTAGTGGCTGTCTGGTAGACAGCCTCTAGAAGTGGCTGTCTGGTAGACAGCCTCTAGAAGTGGAGTTAACCCTAGCAGGTAATTATTGCATTTCTTCTTGTGCGAATATGCCAGGTAGACTATTTCAACTTACCTCTTGATAGAATTTTTTAGCTCCACATCACCTTCCATTGGGTTAAACGAGGAGAAGCAGTTGTGCGGACTTCACCCAAGTTTACCAAACTGTTGCCCAGAAATCACTGTAAAAGTCCAATGCGTGCACCATTGCCTAATGTATCAAAAGGGCACATGCACAGTGTGATGCATGCATGTGAACTCAGAATTTGTACAGACCGCAAGGATACAAGTAAGTAGAACAAAATAAATAAAGTTATTGCAAAAAAGTATTTTTTATTATAGCACATAAAAAGGATATGATCACTTCCCAAAAATGTTTTTCGTACAAACTTTCATGAATCGAATCCATACATAAAACAGGTAAGTACTAAACAAAATAGTCATGTCTACTCAGGAAAATCGATATCCAAGAAAAAAGTAAAGGTCAAAAGTAAAAATAACAAGAAAAAAAGGGGGGGAAAGTGTACAAAGTGTAAAAATAGCTTGTAAAATAGACAATGTATGTGGCTCTGGGGTGGTTCTCAGTATACTAGTATTGCGACAAAATGCAAAATAAAAATAAGAAAAACTAAATTTAAAAAGCAAAAAAGACAAAAGGCTTAGCACATGAGAAAAAGTGAAACGAATGAAAAAAAGCTTGAAAAGGAGAAAAAAGACAAAGAAAATCTAAAAAAGAATATACAAAGGTGACACGAGGAATGCCTTGACTTAAAGGATTATTCATGCACCAGTTGCTAGACTCTTTAGTGAGCACCACTGACTCCTGAGTGACATCGTATACTCTTTTTACAAGTAAGTAGGCTTGCCTTGCAGTGAAGCCATAGCATTTGACACCATCACAAAGTTTGTTTTGTAGTCTTGATGGGATCTTTTAATTACCGATGACACTTAGAATCCAAATACCTCCATGCTAACTTTTCCATTCTAAGCCATCAGAAATGTTTTTGTTGGAGGTGATATCCGTGATGGAAAACATTTTAGCGATACGTCTGCTTCTAACCACTGATCTATAATTTGTATTGTAGTAGTTGGCTTCTAACCACTGATCTATATTTTGCATTGTGGTAGTTGGGTTGCTCAGAAAAAATTGCCCTAGCAGAAGTGTTTATTTTTTTCAGGTTAGCATCGTAGTAACCATATATCCTTCTGAATAATTTGTGAGAAGGTGATATCATATTGTTTCATCATTTTGTATTGTTTAGGAGCCCCCTATCAATGATGTCCATCATGTATATCCTACGGCCGATGTTCCAGACCATGTTCATTACACAATTGGCGCTGTCATACTCGCAGTAGGGATTACAGGAGCCGTTGGAAACTTTCTGGTCATCTATGCTTTCTGCAGGTATATCCATGGGTTACAATCACAACTCAGATGTTTCTATATCACCACCTTATCCCTGTCCTACAATTTACTATAATCTTTACACATTCTATATGCTTAAATTGATTGTATATCACTGTCCTTGTTCTATTTTTCTTATTAAATGACATACATATTAATTTTAAATTCAAGATTAATTTACCTAGGCATGGCGGACTTCATTGGCACAAAAATGACAAAATCAGTCTGTGTAATCTTCATTTTGAAAGTCAATGTTAATCACATCAACTTTGGAAAATTTACCATGCTCCAATCTTGTCATGACCCAAATCCTGACCCTCCCCCCATCCACCCAACCACACAAAAAAAATCAACAGACTGGATCAACGTTAATTTCTTGCTGGGCTCGGTAAAAAGGGTGCAGTGGCTAAACCCGTGCTGGATAATTAAATGCTGCTGGGTTCTCAAAACTAATCAGGAGTCAATTCAATTTGTGTGATATAATTTGGCAGCTGTTTTAGACTGCTCGTTGCAATTTCCGTCACGGTGTTCACAAATCTGAAATGATGGAACAGAGCATGTTTTATCTCTTTGTTCTTTTAAATTTCTAGGAGCAGAAGCCTTCGATCACCAGCCAATATGTTCATTATCAATCTTGCAATAAGTGATTTTTTTATGTCAGTAACACAAGCCCCGGTGTTTTTTGCAACTAGTCTTCATAAAAGATGGATCTTTGGAGAAAAAGGTACGTAAATGATATAACTATCTAGAGTGAACCACTTCTATCCTATGGACTGGATTCTGAAGTTGGACGTAGCCATTTGTTCTTGAACTTGAGACAGAGAGGGGTATTCTTATTAAACCTTACACACGTATTAAGGGTTAAGACGTGTGTAGAGGAAATTGTGCCTTTTAGCTGAACACAGCAATGTGAATTGTTAGTGTAGGACTCACCAATGAGGTTTCAACTTGACATGGCAGGTGAGCCTACAATTTAATGACCAATAGAGTGATACTAAAAATCTCCTGTTATTTAGATATGCTTTCTCAATTCCTCTGTTGGTAGGGTTGTCACCTTGCTGGTATAATACCGGCACAGCCGGTGTTTCAAGCTGTCTGGCCAGTGCTGATATTGCAAAAATACTTGCAATGCAAAGGCCAGTATTTTTTTCTGAGTAGACTCTGGGGGAGTGGTGAGAGACATGCAGCTAGAATAACCACCTCTGTTATACATGGCATTGCTATATACACACAATGACACACACTCAGACACAGTATACATACAGTGACATACACTGATATACATACACACAAAGACAAATACTAAACACACACACCGAGACAAAGTATACATATACTGACATACTGACACACTGACACAAACACACTGCTATACACACACTCAGACACAGTATGTACACACTACTGTACACACTCAATCGGACAGGATACACACAATGACACAATACTAAACGTACACACTCAGACACAGTAAACATATACTGACATACTGACACAAACACACTGCTATACACACACTCAGGCCCGGACTGGCCATCGGCCACACCGGGCAAATGCCCGGTGGGCCTCGGTGGCCGTGGGCCTCGGCTGGCAGGGGAGGTCCCAGGATCTCTCCTGCCGGTCTTTGCAGGCCTGACACTATCCGAGCGCCGGCCCTGCAGTAGTCCACGGCGGGCCGGTGGGGAGATCAAAGATCTCCCTCACTGGCCCACATACTGTATACTGCGGCCGCCGGCGGGGAGAAAGGGAGGGAGCCAGCCTGCCAGGAGAGGAACCTGGCGGAACTCTAACTTACAGCTCCGCCGGGTCCTCTCGCGAGATTCGGAGCGTTGCCATGGCAATGCTCCGAATCTCGCGAGAGTGAACTCTAGCCTTACAGGCTAGAGTTCACTCACCACTAAGACCACCAGGGATGGATGGTGGCAGGAGTAGCAGGATCCCCCTCCCAGGCATAAGGTAAGCAGGGAGGTGGGATAAAATCACCTAACTCACATCAGCCTCACAGACACCCCTGTCCCTCACAGCACCCTCACTCACAAAAACACACACACTGCACCCCTGTCACTCACAGCACCCTCACTCACACACTCACTACACTGCACTCCTAACACTCACAGCACGCACACACACCCTCACTCACACACTCACTGCACCCCTGACACTCACAGCACCCTCACTCACACACACTCACACACACTCACTGCACCCCTGACACAGCACCCTCACTCACACACACACACTGTACCCCTGACACTCACAGCACCCTCACTCACACACTCACTGCACCCCTGACACAGCACCCTCACTCACACACACTCACACACTCACCCCTGACACAGCCCCCTCACACACACACACACACACACACTGTACCCCTGACACTCACAGCACCCTCACTCACACACACACTGCACCCTGACACTCACAGCACCCTCACTCACACACACACACACACACACTGCACCCTCCTCACACACACCCTGACACTCACAGCACCCTCACTCACACACACACACTGTACCCCTGACACTCACAGCACCCTCACTCACACACACACACTGTACCCCTGACACTCACAGCACCATCACTCACACACACACACTGTACCCCTGACACTCACAGCACCCTCACTCACACACACTGCACCCCTGACACACACAGCTTCCTCACACACACACTGCACCCCTGACACACACAGCTTCCTCACACACATACACTGCACCCCTGACACACACAGCTTCCACACACGCACATAGCACCCTCACGCAAATACAGCACCCACTCACATACAGCACACACACACAGCACCCTTACCCACATAGCACCCTCACGCAAACAGCACCTATCACTCACACACACACACTACACACCTCACACACATACACTGCACCCGTCTTGCACACACACTACACCCCTTACACACACACAGTACCCTCACGCAAACAGCACCTATCACTCACACACACACACACTACACACCTCACACACATACACTGCACCCGTCTTGCACACACACTACACCCCTTACACACACACAGTACCCTCACACACCCTGCACAGTATGCTTTCCTAGCATTTTTGTCTCCTGTTATCCCAACTATGGAGAAACCAGAGACAAATTTCAAGCAAACACAGTGCAAGCATGTTATTGAATTTGCTTGCGCTGTGCAGAACAAATACAGGGTCTTTTTCTCATGCCAGAGCTCTTAAGCAGAGCTCTGCGCATGGTCTACCCTGGAAGAGCATTGAACCAATATTCTCTGGCCCCGCCCCCTTTTTAGTGGGCCGCTGTAATTAAAAAATGCCCGGGCAAAATTTTCTTCCCAGTCCGGCCCTGCACACACTTAGACACTGTATGTACACACTAATGTACACACTCAATCAGACAGGATACACACAATGACACAATACTAAACATACACACTCAGACACAGTATACATACATTGACACACAGGCACAAACACATAGTATACACACTGCTACACACACACACAATGACACTCAGAAACAGTATACACACACTAACGTATTTCTCTTTCTCTAATGTCACTCCCTGTGATGTTAACTAACATCTGATGATGTCCTGTGATGTCACACATATATAATTAATTAAGCAAATTAGCATTGCTGGTATTTTTTTCAAGAAGGGTGGCATGTTTATGTATTACTAAGAAAAGTGAAATAGAAAAGGTTAGAATGCCTTATTTAATTAGTTGTTTACATTGAGTTGGATGTAATAATGTTATATAAAGTGTAGATAGTCTGAATTATCCCTCTTTGGATGATGGTACTCATGTTATTCATCTCAGATGAATGAAAGTCAGTGCTGAGATTCTGAGAACAGATATTAAGCCGAATAAGAATGAATAAAAGAAGGAAAAACCTATTCACCAGTGGCTGGGTATTATAGCCATTGCATGCTTAGTAATATTAAAGGGCAACTGTCACCTCTTCAGATATTTCATATCTGTTATATTGTTATATGGTTAAGAAATATGTATTTGTGAAATGTGAAAAATGCAATAAAATGTAGAAATCCACGTCTTGTTATCCTGTAACTGGGCGCCTCCGTCTTAGCTCCCTGTCAGTCAGCATAGAGAAAGCATTCAGAGAAGATAATACTGGTTTTATCTCTCTTCCTTTTTTGCACTTTGTGACCTCACTGCCTGGAGTGAACTGGGCTGTGATGTCATTTGATAACTTTGTAACACACAAATGGCACGTCACATGTAAAAAAGATTTTGGTGATTCACATTTTCTTTTCAGTATTGTAATTTCCAGACAGTGACAGTCACTCCTTTAATTCTGTTTGAAATTGTAATTGAGTTGGTTTGAGTGGACACAAGACGTGAAGAGTCTCATAGTCCTGGGTCATGCTGGAATAGCTAAACTGCAAAGCCAAGTTTCATGACAAGTTGGATCTAGTGACATCTGCAACCTGTAGATTGAGAACTAGTTATCTCCAAGACACAGAGGTGCCTGGGTGGGATCTATATTGGTTTAGTTAACGACCCCTGTTAAGAACACCTGTACTGTGATCAAAAAAAGGAAGTCCTGGGGGCAGGGCCTGACTGCCATGCTGGGCAGACGTGTCTCGTAAGAGCTCCAGAACATTAAGCACTAAACTGAGGATTTCTGCCCAAAACCCGACAAGAAAACTAGTCAAAAAGGCAGCTCACCTTTTTAAGCAGTACCAGAGCTCAAAACAAGTGGACACACCGGACCATAATCGGGGAAAAGCCCCGGAGAACAGGATGATTGACCTGCGGCCTGGTGAACCCTGGGGAAGCGGCCGACCTCAAATTGGGGATCTCCCAGACAGCAGCGGAAAACACAGCACCAAGCCTTGTAACCCCTCCCCCCCCCAATGGACCGGTGAGGGATATCCTGGTCCAAGAGACAAACCAGCGGAGACCATCAAACTGGCCTCCATAAGCGGGAAACACGACGACAGCACCAATATGGCAGACGCCATGTGTGCAACACCTACCAGCACCCAAACTTTTCAAGCAACCTCACTTGATAGAATTTTTGAGGACTTCTGGGGAAAACTCACCCAAGTGCTGCAGACACCCTCCTTGTACAAGCCGAGCGATAGCTTCACACACAAGCTGCCCCAAAGTCCTCGGCTCCCTCCAGCAACCGGGGTCTCAAGCCGGTGGCACCTTTACAAACACCCTCCTGCCACGAAAAACAAGAAAGCCCCAGAGGGAATACCGACACTCAAGCGCAAAGGAGGACGGATAAAAGCACCAGGATATCGACCACAGACAGCCCGAGCATACACCAACATACCTGCATGAAGAGTAGCCACCAGACGGCAAGCAACAGTGCACACCACTACTGTGACATATCCTCGCTACTTCTCCACAAGCACAAGGACACTGCGACAGCACGGAAAGCACCTGAAGGATCACCCAGCGAGCTACGGTCCAAACAACACTCTGGTCCAGACCATGTCAGCGGGAGGCACACTCTCATCGAGGTACCAAGAGGAACTCTGACTACACCAAGAGGCTTACGTCACCGATCCGTTGTAAGCCGGGACAGCCAGCAGCGCTTACCCTGGTCACGGGACTCTATCCGCCCCTTTGAGGGCATAGGCTTAGCAGGGGTCCACTGGTCATACCCTGACCCTCGGAGGAGATACCATGCAAATCTCACACATGAAGGACGCTATCCTGCCATTTCTACATTGTTAGATTTTTCTTATTTAGTTCTCTCAACTTAACTTTCTTAAGGGTAGCAGGTACAAGTCTATTTTATTCATGTTACACACCGTGTTTTCTAGTGCATACGCTCTCTCACCTAGCATCTACACACACGAGCTGATGGATAGGATGTTACACCATAAGTAAAGTTGTAAACCATGTTATATGAGCAGCACTTTTTTCATATGTCTAAATCTAGCTGCCAAATCAATAACCAAGGCAGTGCCTCACACTGATGCCAGTCAGCACACTGCGGTATCACGTTAAATATAATTAACCACTGTTCTCCGACCCGCTCATGCATAGATTAGTCTCACCTAACTCACTGCCACTGAGCTGATCTTGTGAAATAAAATAAAGTCCTAGCCTGAGTACTACTCCCAAGACGCTAAGCCAGTCTATCAAGCATACTACTCAACATGTCTAGCATACCAAGTTTATTAATCACTTTATCCTTTTACTGCGGGAACCTTCTTGCAGACGTGTGCAAATAGCCTGTTTAACTCTACTTGTTTTAAAAAAAAAAAAAATGTGCTTTCACTTTAATGCCATATACGTGAAACTTTGTGTTTTCAATGTACTTGCATATGCCATTGTTGCTTTGTAAGAATTTTTGTTACCTCGTGCACAACGAAAAAAAAAGAATTAAAAAAAAAAAGGAAGTCCTATTTTTATCCTTCATCAAGTTTCGACTGATGTTTGGTTGGGCGGCTATATCACAGATCACTTTGCGGGAAAAGGACAGAGACTTTGGCGGGGATACTCTGGTCAAGTTGAAAGTTTAGGAGCTCCACCACAATCTCAGCCATGGAAGCAGGGCCATCCACCGCTATATCGACACGCTGAGGTTAAAAGCTTTATTTCTGCACTCTGAGGGGGGGCCAGGGACTCTAATATGCAGTCCAAAACTATAGTGTTAGGTATACGTTTGTATTACTAACACTATAGTGTTCCTTTAACTTACCTTTTATCAGTAGAATACCGTAATCCAAAAACCATCAATTGATGTCATACTATTAAAATTCTAAATTGTAATTTTACTTTGAATTCTCTACCAGTCACAATTTAGTGACCAACACTGCTAACTTGTGAATATGGCCTATCCAGGATTTTCTTCTCAATACTCATTGCTTCAAGAACAGCTTAGCACTCTGGACAGTAACATTCAGACATTATTTCATTCATACATTGCAAAAAAAAAAAAATTATATTCTTGAATATGTCATTCGTTGCATGTTCTTACTCTCTTGTACATCCTTGGAATGAAAGACATCACAATACAATTTCCTCTGTAAAAATGATTTAAATAAGTTATTTATCGTTGGAATAATTATATGATAAAAAAAAAAATACAAAAAAATACAGTGAATGTTTACCAATGTCTGAGTATGTATAATTTGAAGAAAACATAATTATATGAGCTCTTTATCAGTAAATAAGTACATGATACAACAAATGCATTTGTTTTAAATTATGTTTCTACTGAATTAAATGAAAAACAATTTAGAAAAAACAAACTTTGTTGTGTAAAAACACTTGAATGATCCTTTGTTTGACTGCTGTTGCTTGCCCACAGCACTTAATTCAAATTTTATTATCTTTCAAGCGGGCGCGATGAGCCGAGATTATTAAACGTGTTTTCAATTCCAACTGTAGAACAAACATCCCCAAAACATTGCAATTGACCTTTGCTACCTTTAGCTAAAAAACTAAATCATGCGTATTGGTAAATGGGTATGGGTAAGTGAATGGGTATTTTTACGCTCTGTTTAGGGTTTTTAAAAATACCCCTCTCTGTCTTACGAGAGATTTTGCATTTTACCATACCAAGTAGCAACTAGCAAGGTGAATTGTTAGTGTAGGACTCACCAAAGAGGTTTTACCTTGACGTGGCAGGTGAGCTTACACTTTAATGGCCATTGGAGCGATACTAAAAAATGTGCATATACATTTGGGATAGCGTGCTAGTAACCTTTTTTGGTTTTTATTCTATATATTGGGGCTGATAAATACTATAGTCATTGCTACCAGGAGCGGTGGGAGTTTAGGCGCAGGGCTTAATTTTGTGTGTTTCAGTTCCAGCTGTGTTTTGTTTTTTTGTTAGGTTGTGAGTTGTACGCTTTCTGCGGTGCACTTTTCGGAATTACGTCTATGATTACATTGATGGTGATTGCACTGGATCGGTATTTCGTAATCACACGACCGCTTGCCTCCATCGGAGTAATGTCTAAGAAGAAAGCAGTGCTAATCCTTTTAAGTGTGTGGCTGTATTCTTTGGCATGGAGCCTACCTCCCTTCTTTGGTTGGAGTAAGTTGGATTCCTTTTTGATAGATGGGATGAATTAAGAATGAGACAGTGCTCCTGCAGTTTCAGATACGACACGAGAAACAAAAGATTATTGGCTTGCAAGTAACGTTTAGATATTTTTAAGTACAAAGCCGAGAGCTCCGGCTTCCTTCGCAACATTTAAATACCTTGAACACTTTGCCGGAATCGCATTAGCAATTGAACAAAAAAAGATAAGCTGATTAAATTAAAAGCATGTCAAAATACATAATAAACTGTTATGAAACTGCAGAAGTGCCAGTCAGTGGTGACTTTGTAAGGTAGCTAAGATTACAAAACAAGAAATGCAGTAAGCTGTGAAAATGCACTGCAATATATATATATATAAGAATAAAGTAAAACCTATGTTTGTGAGAACTAAAAGTTAATTTACTGAAGACTGAGCTAGGGTCAGAAATCATAATTAATGGATTTTTAAAATGTAGGTCAAAATAATTGAGTCGTAAAAATTCTGCACAGTTGAAAGAAACAGGAATAAATAGCAGGTAAGATAACATAAAAATCCCCAAAATGCGTCAGGTAAAATTCTTCATACTACGTCACTGATGGTCTAAAGCCCCGACTACCATGTAGATTGGCACCAATAGTTTTGTGCATTATTTTTTGGTCACCCAACTGCTAGGTCATTTTAAAATTAAATTGATAAAATAAGTGGTCATCACAGAACTAAAGAAATATCCGGTACAATGTGCATGGAGTTTTTTTATGCACATGTTGTACCAAATATTTCTTTAGTAGTGATATTGAGTTAATAAAACTGTTTTATTTATTTTGAATTGTGGTGCCCCCTAGTGTTTTTAATTCGTAATTGTCTTCATTTCTTTATTCTAACATAACTTACCTAATACACTTTAAAGGACCACTATAGTGCCAGGAAAACATATTCGTTTTCCTGGCACTATAGTGCCCTGAGGGTGCCCCCACCCTCAGGGACCCCCTCCCGCCCGGCTCTGGAAGGGGGAAAGGGTTAAAAACTTACCTTTTTCCAGCGCTGGGCGGGGAGCTCTCTCCTCCTCCTCCTCCGTTCCTCCTCCTGGGCTGAATGCGCACGCGCGGCAAGAGCTGCGCGCGCATTCAGCCCGTCGCATAGGAAAGCATTCTCAATGCTTTCCTATGGACGCTTGCGTGCTCTCACTGTGATTTTCACAGTGAGAAGCACGCAAGCGCCTCTAGTGGCTGTCAATGAGACAGCCACTAGAGGAAACAGGGGGAAGGCTTAACCCATTCATAAACATAGCAGTTTCTCTGAAACTGCTATGTTTATGAAAGAATGGGTTAACCCTAGATGGACCTGGCACCCAGACCACTTCATTAAGCTGAAGTGGTCTGGGTGCCTAGAGTGGTCCTTTAATCACATCAACAATAACATTCAACGGCAGTGTTTGAACAACATTATGCATGTAATATCATGCTTCATAGTCAATTCTGTAGCAAGAAATAAGATAAAGCGTTTGTTCTGTATACTTTAAATGTGTGGAGGATTGACATGATAATTGCAAAATGTAGGCCAATAAATCAGAGGTTTTACTAAACATTGAATTTGGATATTCACTCAGGCAATGCAAATTTAATGCCAAAATAACAGATCTAGAAACAATTTATCTATTTTTGCCTAAAGAGTGCAGATACCTGGTCAATCCTGATAATTCGTAGTTTAGCGAATAAGCCTTTAAATAAGTTGGGGAAAAAAATGCTGAATTTGTGATTTATTTATTTTTTTAATTTCAGATATTGTAGGCGAAAACTTCTAATTGAATTACTAATTCATCGCAGTTTTTAGTTTAAAGAATAAGCAACAGTGTTTTTATAACTCCGATTGTAATGGTGTTGAGTGCATACAAGCACAATTCCTCTTTTGTTGTGTATTCACATAGAAAAAATATAATACAGCGTCCAGATGTTTTAAAAACCTATCTTACACAATTTAGATTTTTATAAACATCGCACATTCGAAAATACATGTATTAAAATAATTATGAATCGACTTGGTAGTAAAATAATATGATTTTAGTTGTTCGGCCACTGGTACCATCTTACATTTTATAGATCATCAATATATCTGTATGTTTTATTATGTCACCCACATGCCTTCTCAATACCAGTTTATACATGTGGTTAAGAACTCAAATAAGAGGGATGTGAGTTATTTGTATGTATTCGTGTTACTTAACATTTTGTTAGCAACCCACATCCTATTTTAACATCGGTAGGTTCTGATGGATTTTATAAAAATCCATGTTTATTATGTTTTTGTGATATCTCCAGTGTCACAAGGGATTGAAATGCTTCCAACAATGTATAAACCTCATAGAATACCTTGAAATGTATATATAGAGAGCACCAGTCAATGCTACACTAACCATAATGTTTGCAGGTGCGTATATCCCTGAAGGTCTAATGACGTCCTGTACTTGGGATTACATGACCTTCACTCCTTCTGTGAGAGCCTACACAATGCTTCTGTTCTGTTTCGTCTTCTTCATACCTCTATTTATTATTATATATTGCTACGTCTTCATTTTCAAGGCCATCAAGAATACCAACAGGTAATTTAATTCAGACAGACCTACAGGTTACCACTACGATTCCCATTGTGTGTGCTTGCAATGAGTTTAACATTGTAATTAAATACGCTAATAATGTATAAATAAGACTACATTCCAATCTACGAGCAATAGACGGGTAAAGATGGCTTTTAGAAATGTGACTTTTAAAAGGATGCGATTGTGTTATACGGTGTGATAAGTATATTTGTTTGCTTTTTTAATCTTTAGTATTTATTTAGTGTTTTTTCGAAATACAACATGAAATATATGCATTAAAAAGTACAAATAATACAGTTAAAACATTAAACAGAGATCTTACTTCAGTATTCGTGGTTATATATTGTAGTAATCTCATTATGAGACCTGGACATAGATGACAAACACATATATATACATTAACAATATGACCAGGGCCAGATTAAGAGCCCAGTGGACCTGGTGCTGACAATTTTATGGGCCTATTTACAGAATCGTATCGACCAAAAATACTAAAACAATCATACCTCCCAAGCGTCATATCTGACGAAGATGGTGTTGGAGGGAAACTCAAAGGATGCAGCTATACGAAAACACATATTCTATCAATTACTCTCTAATTTATGCTTTCGTCTTTCAAGTAAATTCATACCCCCTAACAGCAGTGTCTAGTGAAGCAGGAAGTCAATGGGCGGGGTAAAAGAGTGTGCCACTGGCGCGAATCACGTGACCAGACCTGACAAAAGGGGTGAAGATGCCCAAAAAGGGGGCATGTTTGTCCAAAGAATTGGAAGGCCGGCCTGGCCTGAATGCATGTCAGGCTGCTTGCCAATCACGCAGGCTGTCCAACTAAGGGCATACTAGGCAGACAGCACCTTAAGCTTGACATAAATGCATCAAATGATGCACCTACTCCACGCTTTCTAAGGACTGTCCCCTAGCACTCACATGTACACTTGTCTCCTTATCATTTTACTAGCAGGCAGAAGTTCCTGGTGTATAGTCTAGGACAGAGAAAAGGTGTATGTAGTGAGTGTAGAAAAAAGGGGACATGCCACAGTGTTAGAGAGACAAAAGTCTGCATTATCTAAACTAAGTTTGTCAGCCAGTCCACACAAGTTTTGTTACCATGCTTCCAAACTTAAAGGGATACTATAGTCACCAGAACAACTACAGCTTATTGTATTTGTTCTGGTAAGTAGAATCATTCCCTCCAGGCTTTTTGCAGTAAACACTGTCTTGTCAGAGAAAATAACTCTGATGGCCACTCCTTAGATGGCTGCTAGAGGTGCTTCCTGGGGCAGTACTGCCTAGTGTATAGCACTGCCATTATTCAGTGAGATACAATGAATCAATTTATCTTCATGAAGAGATGCTGATTGGCCAGGGTTATGTTTGACTTGTGATGGCTCTGCCCCTGATCTGCCTAGTTGACAGTCTCAGCCAATCCTATGGGGAAGCATTGTAATTTGCTCAGACTACCACTTCTGATGATGTCAGTAGACAGAGTCAGTTCAGAGGCAGACAGGGACAGAGCCAGCAGCTGCAGACTTCAATACAAGTAAGATTTTACTATATTTAGGGAGGCAAGAGGGGACCAGGGGGGCTAAATGGTGGTTTTAACATAATAAGGTCAGAAATACATAATTGTGTTCCTGACCCTATAGTGTTCTTTTAAGCAAGAGTATGTGAAGAGTAGTTAGGGTTGCCACCTTTCTTGGAAAAAAATACCAGCCTTATTCATTTGTATAATTAATTAGTTATGCTTGACATCACATGATGTAAAACACAAGGAGTGACATAAGAGAAAATTATGTAAAATCACCAACAAACTACTTACAGTTTGATTCTGCTGTATAGATGGATTGCTCCCAGTGTCTCAGTCTCGCAAGTCACCCAGTCTCTCAGTGTCCCTATGAATCACAGTATCAGTGTCCCCATGTCGCCCAGTCCCCTAGTCTCCCAGTGTCTCAGTGTTCTTATTTCTCCCAGTGTCCCCATGTCTCAGTGTGTCCCCATCTCACTAGGATACTGGTGGACACAGTGAGACATGGGGACACTGAAAGACCCGGGGACACTGAGCCACTTGGGGACACATGGGGCACTGAGACACTTGGGGACATGGAGACACTGAGTCACTAGGGACACTGAGGCATGGGGACACAGAGACTGTGAGACTAGGGGAAACTGGGAGCCATGGGGACACTGAGACATAGGGACACAGAGACTGGGAGACTAGGGGACACTTGGAGACATGGGGACACTGTGTCCCTAGTGTATCTGTGTCCCCATTTCTCCCAATGTCCCCTAGTGTTTCAGTGTCCCCATGTTTTCCAGTGTCTCCAAGTGGCACTGGCCGGTGCAGGTATTGCAGAGTAATCTCCGTTTATACTGAGAAAAATACCTGCATTTGTATTGCCGGTATTACTGCAATACTGCAGCCTCAAATACCGTCTGTGCCATTAAAATACCAGTCAGGTGGCAAACCTAAGAGTAGGGTGTATAAAAACAAAAACAAATAAAAAAATTTTTTTTTTATTTTTTTTTAATGGGCCTATTCCATTGGCCTGGGCCTGGAGCTGCAGCTCCATCAGCCCCTATGTTAATCCGGCCCTGAATATGACAGCTGTACACGGCAGCATAAGACTTCAAACAAAAGGTGTACATGGAGAGTTATTCATTTGTGAGTTGGATTCATTTTTTGTAATAGATGAACAGCAAGATTTTTGTACTTGTTAAAAACCTACTAATAGTTGGAGTTATTAATCTTCTCCATAATTTATTTCCAGATATTATACTTCAGTAGTTTTAATGGGTTATTTCTACTTAAATATAATTCCATTTGCATTAGTAAAGATATTGTGTTTCTATCTCCTTCCATTCTGGAGTGGTGGGCGTTTTCCAGTATCGGGCTACTGTTAGTTTAGTATAATTTAGCTTTATCTTCGATGTCTGAGGCCAATGGATGTTTAAAAGATAGGATTCAGGGAGAAACGCGTGTGGTAAGTATGTTTGCATTGATGTTATTAGTAATGACAGTAACACTGTTCTATTGCAATTCTAGTACTATAAGATAATGGAAATATTTTACATTTTTTTGTAGAAAACTATTTTCCAGTCAATTTTCTACAATTCCCAATTTTGTGAATAAACCAAGCAGTTATCTTTTAGTACTGTTTTATAATGTAAGAATTCGTATTGCGTTCCTTTATCAAATACGTCCAAATAATCCCATCAACAAGCAGAAAGACACTTTTTAACTAAACTATGCTGTTTCTCGTATTACAGGGCTGTTCAGAAAATTGGTTCTGACAACAATAAGGAATCTCATAAGCAGTATCAGAAAATGCAAAATGAATGGAAAATGGCAAAAATTGCTCTTGTTGTCATCCTTCTCTATGTTATTTCATGGTCCCCCTACTCTACGGTTGCCCTGGTGGCTTTTGCTGGGTAATTTCATTTTAAGTGATATATTTATATTAAACAAAATCTGTCATTGACCATATTCTTTTTACAAAAAATAATCATCGGCCATATGTTTTTTTAAAACTAAATTTGAGAAAAAATAAGTTCTAAACAAGATGCAAGTAAAAACATAGAAAACTGTTGGTGGATTATCTTGAATTATTTAATTTTATGAACCATTTGCATCTCACTAAAAGCTATATTGGAGCTGCTCTTAAATGTTGATATTGTCGCTGGTTTGGACAATTTTGCAATACACACAAGTAGTATCTGTCAGCTTCAAACATATTTGGAAATGTTTATTTTTATTTTTTAGTCATATTTTTATTGCACATTCTGTTTAATTTAGAATTTCTTATCTCCTGCTCTGTTAATAGCTTGCTAGACCCTGCAGGAGCCTCCTGTAAGTGATTAAAGTTCCAGTTACAGAGCAGGAGATAAAAACTAAAGTAAGTTTTAACGTGAAACCAATCGTATAATGCAGGCTGTGTCAGTCACAGCCAGGGGAGGTGTGGCTAGGGCTGCATAAACAGAAACAAAAATGAATTAACTCCTAAATGACAGTGAATTGAGCAGTGATACTCCAGGAGCATGATCTATACTGCTTCATTAAGCTAAAGTTGTTTTGGTGACTATAGAATCCTTTAAGGATTTTTGTAAACATATATTACTAAAATGGGATTTTTTTAAAATTATTATGAGAAAGAAACATTAGGAAAATGTATCCCAATTTAAGTACAAAACAAATGTTTTACACTTGTGTTTTAATAGAGCAGGTCATAAGATAAACTATAAATCTTTTAATAACATTTGATTTAAATCTGACATTTCCTTTCGGTTTGTAATTCGTTATCTGTGGATTAATCTCCGTCACACAAAAACATCTTTCACCAATTGAAATTAGTTTTCTACCAGGCCAATAAAACAGCCAGCACAATTGACATAAAAATCTGAAATGTTGATGAAGGCCAAATATAATTGGTTTCCAGTTTTACTGCTGTAATACATGTTCGGTTGCACGGGCATATTTAGCCTGTCTGTTACTTCACTAGAACGCACATTCCATGTTAAAAAAGGAATGCTGCATGGATGTTGGGCAGGAATGAAAGAATTTTAAGTATCCAGTTGAATAGAGAATAATTGCTCTGGTTATCCCCCCATTGGCTGAACATATTCTAATTTAGATCACTAACATGCAGATTCAAACATGTTTAATTTACATGGGGTCCAGTATGGCTAAAGATTACGTGAAAAAGTCTATCTACATATTGTAATTAACTACGAAAGATCAACATGCTTATGGAAAACGCAGGATGATTTGCAGATGGTATTTAGGAGGTGAAGCTCGTTGACCTATATTCATTTATAAATGATCTGCTTCGTAATCCTTTTTCTTGCAGATACTCAAGTTTCCTTACTCCATATATGAACTCTGTTCCGGCTGTGATTGCAAAGGCGTCTGCTATTCATAATCCTATAATCTATGCCATTACTCATCCTAAATACAGGTATGTTTAACTATTATTTTTTTAAGTGGTTTCTCCTAGTGTGATGTACACAGTGTAATAACAGCATATTCAAGACGGTCAGGAGAAACAGCTAAGGTTGTTGAGCAGTGAAATAGTTCCAGGTTTCAGATCCGATAGTTGGGCAACAAGGTTTTCGGATACTAAGAATATCAGCAGAAATAGTTTGCCACACAGCTCCGTCCTTTGGTTGTTTATAGTATCCGCCATGGGAAAGACACCATCCGTAGCCCCTCACAATGGAGTGGCAGTACGCATGTCGAGGAATCATGCAAAAGGCACGTGGTATGCCCTTGTTTTATTGGCGTGGAGTTTGCATTAAAAAGTTGCTCAATGGCATCACTGCATGCTACAGAAATACTGGATATTAATCCAAGATGGTGCCAAGTGGGTGCGAGACTGGTGCACACTCACACTCAATGCTAAGACGACAAGTTAATGTTTAGATCCCTGGCAGGAATTCTTCGCCTTAGACAGCACTCCAGACATTGATCACTATCTCTATGTCAGTTCAAATGTAAGAATCCCTTTGACAGGAAATGGCCAAGAAGAATGCTATCAGTAATTTCAGTGAAGCTATTTAAATAACGGAAACTGAATTTTACTCTATAAAAGCCTCATCCAGTGGTCCGTCACTGCCTCATTGTGGTTTATTGCCCTGCATTGTATTTAAAGTGTTCTCAAAGTCTTTCTTGTCCTTGACCCAGCTCGAACTCATTATTCCTGCATTCTGTATTCCCTAGAAATATTGTTTGTGTATACTTCTGGATTCCCCCCCGACGTTGGCTTTCCAATTGATTATTGTGAATACTTGCTTCACTGAAGCCTGTCATGTGTTGAGTTTGACCATACAAAGGATAAGTAATAATTAATAGATATCTTATTGGTAAAATACACTCTGTCTATGTAGAACGTGTAAACAATCAATATATACAAGAAGTATTGGAATGTCGCATCCTGGATGAATCCAGGCCTGTGCTTGTAGTTTGCCTGCAATAACTCCCATGGCCATTTTGGATGGATCCATACATAGTTACATAGTTACATAGCTGAAAAGAGACTTGTGTCCATCAAGTTCAGCCTTCCTCACATATGCTTTTGCTGTTGATCCAAAAGAAGGCAAAAAAACCCAGTCTGAGCGCTTCCAATTTTGCAACAAACTAGGAAAGAATTCCTTCTTGACCCCAAAATAGCAGTCAGATATCTCCTTGGATCAAGCAGCTTTTACCCCACTAATTAGAAATTATATCCCTGTATGTTATGTTTTTGTAAGTATTTATCCAATTGCAGTTTAAACATCTGTATGGACTCTGATAAAACCACCTCTTCAGGCAGAGAATTCCACATCCTTATTGCTCTTACTGTAAAAAAACCTTTTCTTTGCCATTGTTTCAATTGTACCTGCAATACCTACTCTGGCCATGCATAAATTACCATTGTGGTGCACAGACCAGACCAATTGTAGCCCACAGCTCCCATATTTAAGGAAAGCTATAGTGCCAGGAAAACAAAATAGTTTTCCTGGCACTATAGCTTCCCCCTTTGTCAAGGCCCCCTCCCGCGGCGCTAAAGGGGTTAATAACCCCTTCAGTCACTTATCTGGGTCCAGTGACGATGTCCCTCAGCACTGGCTCAGCTCTGCCCATGCTCCTCCCCCGCCGACATGTGAGACCTAATGTGCATGCGCGGCAATGGCCGCGCTTGCATTAGGATCTCCCAATAAGAAAGCATTATGCAATGGCGTGAGGACGTCCAGCGTCGTTTAGATGATCCAAAGTTGTCTAAGAAGCCAGAAGTCTGGCAGACAGCCACTAGAGGAGGACTTAACCCTAGCAGGTAATTATTGCTTTTATTTCTCTAAAGCAGGAATAGAAAATCTTTGGCACGCCAGATGTTTTGGACTACATCTCCCTGGATGCTTTGCAGGCATTATGCCTTTACTGTAATAGCATTGTGGGAGATGTAGTCAACGGCATCTGGGGTGCATTGTACATGCATATGCCAGTTAGCGCTCCCCCTAGTGGATATTCATAGCACAGTGTGTTTGGTAAAAATTTTACAGGTTTATTTACTAAAGTGAGAATTTAAAATGAATTTCACAATTCAGGTCAGAGTAGCCGAGCTAACTTACATAATGTTTCCACTTCAGCTAATTTGAGTTTACATTTGAAATTCACTTTGAATTCTCCCTTTAGTAATGCACCTGTTACAGGCTTATTCAATATTTGATAAAACGAGAATTGGAGTGAAATTCAAGTGGGAGTCCAAAATAGCCATATTATTATTATTATTATTTTATTATTTCTATTGCGCCATCAGATTCCATAGCGCCGTACAATGGGTACTGGGCACATGGCTTGGATAATTTTATATATCAGCCATTTTTAAAATTAACTTTGAATTTTGGTGAACAAACCTGTTAATAGGTTTTAGCAATTCCCAGGAGAAGATGGAGGTAACCAATCCGAATATGTTTGTCTGCATTGAGATAGCCCCGTGGTGAATAAGCCATGCGTGGTATATAAATATAGAAACATTGATTTCCTTATCAGGGCATCTCTTACCAGCAGAAAATGAAGCCTCGGGTTTGGTATATAATTAATAAAACGTGGGTTGTTTAAATTACTATAAATATTGTCTTATGGAATCTTATACTGACAAATCTACTACATTCCCAAGTCATATTGTAAACCAACTATTACAACATAATCTTAGCTTGATGGGCATATCAAAACAAACCATCCTTTATAAAACACAGGAAAATGTCAGGAATACCCAATTCACTATTAGTCAGTTTTGGTGGAGAATGACCAAGCTTATATAGTTTCTGATTATTTACAATTCTGTGTAAGTATCTGTCACAAACAAATGATGGGTGTTTTTTTTTTGTTTTTTTTAAATAGGCCATTTTAAATCGTCCTCATTTAATGAAACTCTCCAGACACCAACATAATTCTAGTTTGGTTTTTAACCTAAATAAATAGTTTTTATCCACACCACAGTTTGCATAGTTTATACATATTGTATATTACACACTAACCCCAGTCTAAAATGAATTATGTAATATAAAAGATACAAAATGGCCATTCTATTATAGGAAAAGAATGCCGTTTTAAGGGTTCGGAAGACACCAGGGTAAACCATAAGACAATTGGCTTGTGGTTTAGAACTGTTTCTAAAACCCCAAGATGGCTTTATTTTCTCATAATACACATTTTGCTGTTATGTACCTTTAAAATGATATGTTTTGCTTTTTCCTGTTTAGGCTTAGTCTGTAAGGGTTATAGTTTGGGTTATGTTTTTAGTGCTGGGAGTAGGGTTAGACCTAGGGGTAGTGTGTTGCTGTATGGTAGAGGTTAAGGATCCTTAAATGTTAAAGTGGTGTAAGTGTTAGGGTAGTGTAAGTGTTAGCAGTGGTAAGCGGCAGGCCCGTCGCTACCGGGCAGGCAAACAAAGCAATTGCTTGGGGTCCCAAGCTGGCCTGGGGCCCCAAGCAGGGCCGGTGCTTCCTATAAGGCTGCAGCCGCCTGAGCGCTCTATAGAGAGCCTCAGACGGCCAGGTACCGCGCGGTACAGGAGATTCAGTTTCCTGTTCCCGGCCGGACTGACAGGAAGTGCACACTGAGCGCTCACTTCCTTTCAGTCTGGCCGGGAACAGGAAACTGAATCTCTTGTACCGCGTGGTACCCGGCCGGACTGAGAGCCAGGAGGAAGAGGAGATCGCCACGCTACAGGGAAGGGGAGGTGAGAAGAACATGGGGGGGAGAGTAAAAAGAACATACGGAGGGAGGGAGGAAGGGGGGGAGTAAAAGAACATAGGGAGGGGGAGAGGGAGGTAAAAAAATATGGGGAGGGGGGGAGTAAAAAAACATGGGGGGGAGTAAAAAAAATGGGGGGAGTAAAAAGAACATAGGGAGGGGCAGTGGCGGATCCAGAGCCTGATCTCGGGAGGGGCAGTTGTAGATTATTTAAAGAAATAATCCAGACACAATAACCACTACAGCTCAGTGTAGTGGTTATGGTGTCAATAATGCCGGGACCCCCTCACAGAGTAAGTAGTCAAACCATTTAAGAACAGTTTGACAATTTACCTGAGGTCTGCTGGGAAATGGGGCTGTAGTAGGGCATAGGAGCAGTGGTGTGTGTGAGTGGTGCAATGTGTAAGGGGTGCAGTGTGTGTGTGTGAGGGGGACAGTGTGTGAGCAGTGTGTGTGTGTGTGAAGGTTGTAGTGTGTGAGTGAGGGCGGCAGTGTATGTCAGGGATGCAGTGTATGTGTGTGACAGTATGTGTGTGTAACAGTTGCAGTGTGTGTGTGTGTGTGTGTGTGTGAGTATTGCAGTGTATATGTGAGTGTGGGCAATGTGTGTGTATGGGGCGGCAGTGTATGGGGGCATTGTGTGTGTATGGGGGGTAGTGTATGTGTGTAGAGTGTGTGTATGGGGGGCAGTATGTGTGTAAGGGGGGCAGTGTGTGTGTATGGGGCAGGTGTGTGTATAAAGGTGTGTGTGTATGGGGGGCAGTGTGTGTGTGTATAAAGGTATGTGTGTATGTAAAGGTATATGTATGGGGGGCAGTATAGCAATGTGTGCATGGGGCAGGTGTGTATAAAGGTATGTGTATGGGGGGCAGTATGTGTATAAAGGTATGTGTATGGGGGGAGCAGTATAGGGGCAATGTGTGTGTATGGGGGCAATGTGTGTGTGTATAGGGGCAGTATGTGTGTATGGGGCCCCAGGTAGAGGCCCTGGGGAGATAGCTGTGAGCTGTTTTATCAAGGCACATGTAGGAGGTCGGATAGATGCATGGGATTGGTTGGAGAGTATGCGGGTGGGATTATGTTCTGTGTAAATTAGTGTGGGGGAGGTCTTACCTCAGTGCCACTTGGGATTCGGGCCAGCAAACAGCTTCCTGTCCTCCTGCTCCTGTTTGCCTGGGCCTGTAGTTTCACAGCTTGAGGGATGGAGGTTGAGGCTTGCTGGCTTCCCTTAGAGCTGCTGCAACGTGGATGGTGGCCGACGACTCCTGATTCAGGTGCTCTCCTCTCCTGGATCCTCTCCCCTGGGGATGGCTGCTGGTGTGGGTGCTCCCCCCGCGGCCTGGGTCCCTCTGGGGCCTTCCCTGTGGCCCTTTTCCCCCCCTCCCCTGGGTGGCTGCCGGGGTGGGTGCTCCCCCCCGCAGCCTGGCTTAATTCATCTGGGGCCTTCCCCGCAGCCTGGCTTAATCCATCTGGGGCCTTCCCTGTGGCCCCTGCTCCTGGGGGCCGCGATGGTGCCGGCTAGCATTCCTGCCCGCCAGCTCCGCTACCCCCCCTGATGCTGCTCCTCAGGCCTGGCAGCCGAGGTAAGTAACCAGCAGAGAGAAGAGGGAGGGGAGGAGATGAGGCCCCCCCCCCCGAAACGCCAACAGGGGGGGAGAAACCGGAGACAGACAAGGGGAGGGGAAAACTGAAAAAAGAGGGGGGTGCAGGGGAGAGAGACCCCTCCGGGCGCCATCCTCACTGGCAGCGGAGGCCCTCAGGAGAGGTCCCTCCCACCCCAAACGGCAGTAAAGCAGTCCCCTCTCGACCCCGCAGGGCCCACTCACTGCCGGGGCCCTGTCCCAGGCTCCGCCATCGGCCCTCCATGCGGTGGTTCCAGAAGGCCTCCGGGCGGCCACACAAAGGCACAGGATGTGCCGCTCGCCTCCTACAGCCTCCGGCTCGAATCCCACCGCCGGAGGCCGCAGCCCATGATCCGTATTAGCGGTATTAGGCCGCGCATCCTCCGCGGCAGTTGCAGGCCGCATGTCTGGAGCCTCAGACAATTGGTCGGGTGAAACCTCAGGCCCGGGCTCCACCTCCTCAACCAGGCCTGAGGAGCAGCATCAGGGGGGGTAGCGGAGCTGGCGGGCAGGAATGCTAGCCGGCACCATCGCGGCCCCCAGGAGCAGGGGCCACAGGGAAGGCCCCAGATGGATTAAGCCAGGCTGCGGGGGGGAGCACCCACCCCGGCAGCCACCCAGGGGAGGGGGGGGAAAGGGCCACAGGGAAGGCCCCAGAGGGACCCAGGCCACGGGGGGAGCACCCACACCAGCAGCCATCCCCAGTGGAGAGGATCCAGGAGAGGAGAGCACCTGAATCAGGAGTCGCCGGCCACCATCCATGTTGCAGCAGCTCTAAGGGAAGCCAGCAAGCCTCAACCTCCATCCCTCAAGCTGTGAAACTACAGGCCCAGGCAAACAGGAGCAGGAGGACAGGAAGCTGTTTGCTGGCCCGAATCCCAAGTGGCACTGAGGTAAGACCTCCCCCACACTAATTTACACAGAACATAATCCCACCCACACACTCTCTCCCAACCAATCCCATGCATCTATCCCCACACTCCTACATGTGCCCTTGTCCGCTTAGCTGCGATATCTCCCCAGGGCCTCTACCGCGTACCAGGGCCGCTTGAAGCAATTTGGGGCCCCAAGCAAAATTAACATGGAGGCACCCCCAACCCTCCTCCCCCCACGCATGCAAAGCCTACAGGAACCACAGCATAGCCATACAGTTTAAGTTGACCCACACTTTATATAAATAAAAAACTGCTGTTGCATATACTGTGCATAAAATTGTAACATTTTCAACAATTGAACATTTGCAAAAAACACCACTGTAGCATAAAATCAAATATACATTAAAAAAGTGCATAATAACTAAATCCAACATACTTAAAACACACACACACACTAACAGACACACACACTAACAGACACACACACTCACATTAACATTTTTCAGTTCTCACAAACATGTGCAAATTATCTAAAACTGTTCCCCGTGTCCTTCTTACTCCCCCCTCCCCCTCCCTGTGTCATTCTTACTCCCCCCTCTCCCTCCCTGTGTCCTTCTTACTCTCCCTGGTCCTTCTTACTCCCCTCCCCATGTCTTTCTTACTCCCCCCTCTCTGGTGGATCCGGGGGGGGAGCAACGGGGCAATTGCCCCCCCCCCTCGAGAAATCCGACGGTCTCCCTCTCCTCTGCCAGCACATGCAGGCGCCAGACCTGCAATGTGACTGTGGACCGGAGGGGAGATGAGAGATCTCCCTTCCCGGTCCACAGGCACTGTGCTGAGAGCCGGCAGGGGAGGGAGAAGGAGGAGAGAGGACCCAGGAGCTCAGGCTGCAGCTCCTCCGGGTCCTCCTCTCACGAGATTTGGAACGTTGCCGTGGTTACCACGGCAACGCTCCAAATCTCGTGAGAGTGAACTCTAGCCCTGGAGCGCGGGCTAGAGTTCACTCTCCCCACTGGGACCACCAGGGATTCCCCACCGGACCACCAGGGACTAAGAAGTGTCACCCCTCCCCCCAGTAAAGGTAAGAAGGGAGGGGGGACATAGAATATTTATACCGAAATATACCGTTCCAATTGGGGGGAGCACCAGTTTCTGACATGTGTCCTGTTTTCCTTCTGTGAGTGCTATTCCGCCCCTGGGTTATTCGGCCTCCTCTCCCCTTGTTTGGTTCTTGAAGCTGGGTTTTCTCGCCTGCGTCCATATCGTTGGGATGCTCCAACTGGGGCTAGAATTCCTGGGTAAGGATGGTGGAGAGTTCAGGGGGCATTCAGTCCGGTTAGGGGCAGCTCCAGACGCTGCCAGGCTGGGCGTGCTTGTGCCACTGGTTGAAAGGGCTTGAATGGTGGGGGTCAGGGTGGTAGGTTTCTTGGGTTCACCCTGCCGGTCTGAATGGATTTCTCTCCGCGGTTACTGTGTCCTCCCCCTCCAGAATAAGGAGGGTGGGATGCTCATATGTCATTGGGATAGGAGGCGGGGGGCGAGTGGTTGGATCTTACGCCTTCGGGAGCAGAAGTTCGGTGGTCTGGCGCCAGATACATGAGGGGGGTGTGGCTCCTCCTCATCCGGGGTCAGCTGTCCCGTCTCCTAGGGGTGCCGGGGGTTTTGTCATCTGTCTGGGTGGAATGACCTGGGTTCAGTGGCTGTTTGGGATTTGGGTGCTCTTACATCTGGACATGTTACGCATTCTGTTTCTTCCCAGAGGTTCTCAGGGGCCGGGCTGAGGCTATCACCCGTTCCTGTTGGCAGTGCACTCAACAATGTGAGTGCCCTGGTGCGCTGCCGTCGTGAATTGGACGAGATGGGTTTCTAGGTTTGTCTTGGGGAATTCCAGTTCGCCTTAGGGTTTGGCCGGATGTGGCCTAGTTATCTTGAGGAGATGGGTGCGCTTGCTGGAGGTCGGATGAGGCCTATGTTAATGGTGCACTGAGGAAGACTCCAGCTGGAGTTGAAACGCGGTTTCTGCTAGACCAAAGTATTGTATCTGGGACTTTTTCTTATTTACTCTGCGGTGTTTTATTTAGGCTTTGTGCCTAGTATATTTTACTATTTATACACTGCTTATTGTCCCTGTTTTAATTGTTTATTTGTTCAATAAATTTTGGATTCTGCACTTTGTATCCTGTGCTGCTCCCCTCAAGGATATCGTTTTAGCCTTTTTAGGCACCCTCCTGCATATTAGAGCCTGGGACGGCTTTCAATCCTGTGAGTTTTACTCTACATAAGGGGTCTATCATTATATATATACATTTTGCACTATGTTATGTTATTTGTGTTTTTTAGATTGATCCCGACTTGTCATTTCGTTTACTGGTGCAGTATTTATTCTATGTTAATCTAGCACGGCAAGAAGTGGTGGAACAGGCCATGGCTGGTTGTGGTGGGGTCCCCCGCTGATTTTAGGTGTAAAACAGCGGGGTTGTGGCGGGGGTATGTCCTTGCCAATTGAGTTTGAGGGGTTACGTTTAAGTATATGGAATGAGATGAACAAGTTTTTAAGGTCTCAACCTCCCCTGCTTCAAACGTTTAACATTACGTTGCCTGAGGTGTCGTGCCCATCGAGCGTGGATAAGGTCGACTGATGGCGGGCATTGGAAAGATATGATTTTTATGACAAGGGGGGAGGTGAGAAGAAGTGGTGATTAGGAACCACTGTATGTTTATTGGCAAGGACGGTTGGGTCACTGTATAACACTATGTGTGGAGTTATATATGTATATATGTTAATTTATGCTTATTTATGTCTAACATTTTTGGTTACAGAAAAAGAAGAGATTTAATAAATAAAGTTATGGATGTGTTATGCAGTAATTTAGATTGTGATAATAAATGCTGTGGCCTGTTTCATCCATACTAAGTGGTCTGTCGTTATTGGAGGGTTGAATGGTGTTAGTTTATGTTTTAGGCTGCATCACGATTCCCCACTACGTACATACAAGGCCCTGGGGAGATAGCGCAGGTAAGCGGACAAGTGCACATGTAGGAGTGTGGGGATAGATGCATGGGATTGTTTGGGAAAGGTGTGTGGGTGGGATTATGTTCTGTGTAAGTTAGTGTGGGGGAGGTCTTACCTCAGTGCCACTTGGGATTCGGGCCAGCAAACAACTTCCCTCCCTCCCGCCCGTCCTATTACTATATTTAGTCACAGCGAGCCGGGGGTATGTCCTTGCCAACTGAGTTTGAGGGGTTACGTTTAAGTATATGGAATGAGATGAACAAGTTTTTAAGGTCTCAACCTCCTCTGCTTCAAACGTCTAACATTAGGTTGCCTGAGGTGTCGTGCCCATCGAGCGTGGATAAGGTCGGCTGATGGCGGGCATTGGAAAGATATGATTTTTATGACGAGGGAGGTGAGAGGAAGTGGTGATTAGGAACCACTGTATGTTTATTGGCAAGGACGGTTGGGTCACTGTATAACACTATGTGTGGAGTTATAAAAAATGTATATATGTTAATTTACGCTTATTTATGTCTAACGTTTTTGGTTACAGAAAAAGAAGAGATTTAATAAATAAAGTTATGGATGTGTTATGCAGTAATTTAGTTTGTGATAATAAATGCTGCGGCCTGTTTCATCTATACTAAGTGGTCTGTCGTTATTGGGGGGTTGAATGGGGTTAGTTTATGTTCTAGGCTGCATCGCGATTCACCACTACGTACATGCATGTAGTGAAAGACCACACAATTACTTATTTGTATGCCCTGTGTTAATGACCTGGGATAATACATATCTAGTGTCACTAAATTAAGCTTACATACATGTGACAAACTACCCTTGCCACTGGCGTTTGGAGGAGCCTGATTGCCAGCCTCCTGCCCTATGACTATGGCCCTGGGGTGTATTGCCATTTAAAAAGTCTATTTGGGCTTATTGGATTTGTAAAACACTTTTTCTGTCCCTTTAATTCCATGGGGAAATGTGCCTCTTCCCCTCCCCCTTTTTCCTGTCCTATTGTTCTCCAGCAGGGCGTTGTCCCAGGGACACTGCCAGACCAGTTGAAACTGGCTGCTTTGTCCCTCCTCAATCTCTCATCAGCCCTTGCTATTGTTTAACCCCATGGCGATCCAACTGTATTTGTGAGATCTGAGCACTTTTCGGACATATTGAGCGCTCAGATCCAAGGGGATTGGGGCGCAAATATGAGGAGAGGGATTGGGGCACTATCTATGAGGAGGGGATTTGGGCACTCTCTATGATGTGGGGGATTTGGGCACTCTCTATGATGTGGGGGATTGGGGCACTATATATGAGGAGGGGATTTGGGCACTCTCTATGATGTGGGGGATTGTGGCACTATATATGAGGAGGGGATTTGGGCACTCTCTATGATGTGGGGGATTGGGGCACTCTCTATAATGAGGGGGATTGGGGCACTCTATATGAGGAGGGGAATTGTGACACTCTCTATGGGGGAATGGGACTTGGGTACTATTTCTGGGGGGGTGGAATGTATACTATCTATGGGGGGAGAATGGGGTGAGGAGGAAAATTGAGTACTAGGAGGAGAATGTAGTACTATCTATGGGGGAGAGGAGGTGAGTAGGTTACTTCTATGGGGGGCATTGGGTACTATCTATGGGGAAAGAGGAAAAACATATGCTATTAACTATAGGGGGAAGGGAATGGGCTACTAACTACAGAGGGCAGATACTAGGCTTCTACCTATGGGAAATAGGGGGGGGAGGGGACAGACTACAAACTATGGGGCAGTAATGGGCTATTAGCTATTGAAGATGGGAATGAGCTACAGACAATGAGGGATACAAATTCACCACTTCATTAATGCAGACAGAGCCCACCATACACAAAAACACCTTGACCCACTACACACGTATGCACCTTTACTTTTATCAAACCTCCAGACACGTCCCTGCATACACACACAGACTCTCCACACACACACACGTGTCCCTACATTCAAACACATTGACTTGCTCCATATGTATGCACCTGCAACCCTTTAATGGACAAACAGATTGTTAAAGAGATCTGAAGGATGTTGCTGTAATTTGTGACTCCTCTAGAACAAACAGTGCATGTAAACCCATAGATTACAACATCAGACACCATGCAGGTTGTGTAATGGAGCTTTTTTTTGTCCGACAATTGCCAGATCATGCTAAGTTTGAGTCAAACAGACCTCCTGTTTTGGGCAAAAAGACCTGTTCATCGGTTTTGTGCGATGCTAATTCAGACATTTAATTCTTTGTTTGCTGATCGTTTATGAAGGATCTTGGCATCATACAAGGGAACAAAATGCCAATGCCAACAGAATGAGAGATGAAAGTTTAGCTATCATGCAGATATAACGCCAATTTATTTTGTTTCTTTAGTTGGATAACAACCCATGACTTAATCTTCTGATCTAAAAATATTAAGCTTTTTAAAAAAACAAAAAAAAACAACTAAAAACAGACTGCAGAAAATGAATCTGAACAAATTGTTAAATATTTGTCTAATTTCTATCTTAAGTAAAAATAATGAATCTAACACTGTCACGCAGCCAGCATGGTGCAGGAGTATCAAAGCTCTACTGTCTCTTTATTCAGTGAAAATGATAAATTACTTACAGCAAGCAAAAAGTCCAAAAATGGGCAGACATTTGTGTAATCGAAATGTAATTTTTAGTAAGACTACACCTTGAATATGCGGTGATTCTGGGCATCCATTTTTAAAGAAGGATATCATGGAACTGGAAAAGGTGCAGAGGGAGCCCAAAAAATTTATATGGGGAATGGAAAACATGGCCAGTACAAACAGTTCTATGGCAACCGTTCATTAAAATAACATTAAATTGTTTTTTTAAACTTGAAATCGTTAAACCATGCCATTACCAGGACAGACTCCTTACAGCAGCTTGATCCTCCTGCTGTGATGTGAGATTGTCAAGCCTTATGATCTGTGTCCAATCAAATGCTTTATTGAGAAGTACTATAGACATATGATGCATGCACAGCTATTGTTGCAATTCGTCAGTCTATTGCTTCACAGAAAAGCAATGTTTTATAGACAAGCATTGTATGTACATCCAGAACCCAAGAACAGCATACGTTACATGCCAATGCTGGATGTAAAATCTATTTTAGTCTGAAAGCCTCTAGAGCAGCGGTTCCCAAAGTGTGGGTCCCGACCCACTGGTGGGTCGCAGGGCGATTCCCAGTGTGTCGCGCTGACCCACACATCCAGGGCCGCCAGCTAGTCAGGCAGACTGATTAGTTGGGCTCTCGGTCCGTGACCGCCGGCCCGACACCAGGAGGGGGCCCGGCGGCTTGCCCTTGCTCCCTCCTTTCAGTCTGCCCAGCAGCTCCGCCGGGTGCAGAGCTGCAGACCGTGTGATAGAAGTCTCGCGAGCACCCAGAGCGTTATCATGGCAACACTCTGGGAGCTCGCAAGACTTTTATTACAAGGTCTGCAGCTCGGCACCCGGCGCAGCTCAGACCAGAGCGTTAACCCACTGGACCACCAGGGAGACACTGGACCACCAGGGATGTTTAAAGAAGGTAGGGCACAGAGCCCAAACAATGCTCCCCCGCCCCAATGTAACCCCTTCTCTGCCTGCCCCCTTCCCCCACTGTAACCCCTTCTCTGCCTATCCCCTACCCCCCACTGTAACCCCTTCTCTGCCTACCCCCACTGTAACCCCTTCTCTCCTTCCCTCTCCCCACTGTAGCCTTCTATGCCTACCCACTGTACCCTTCTCTCCTACCCCATTTGGCCCTTCTCTGCCTGCCCTCCCTGTAACTCCTTCTCTCCTGCCCTCTCCCACCTGTAACCTTTTCTCCCCTGCCCCGTTAAGGCTTTTTCTCCTGCCCCCCACACTGTAACCCTTTCTCCCCTGCCTGCCTACTGTAACCCTTTCTCCCCTGCCCCCACTAATCCTTTCTCCCCTTCCCACCCACTGTAACCCTTTCTCCCCCTGCCTGTCTACTGTAACCCTTTCTCCCCCTGCCTGCCCACTGTAACCCTTTCTCCCCCTGCCCACCCACTGTAACCCTTTCTCACACTCCCTCCCACACTGTCACCCTCACCTCCTGTCTCTGCGTGTCCTTTTGTGTCAGTGTGTGTCTGTGTTTATCTGTGTACATGAGTGTCTGTGTATCAGTGTGTGGAAAACTAAGTGTCATTGTGTGTATCACTGTGTCAATGTGTGTATTTGTGTGCCTGTGTGTGTGTGTATACAGCGCACACATTCTCCATACAAAAAAAAATGCTTACATTGAAACACACATTGTGTATATGTATATTTTATAAACACAATATACACACACTGCATCCACTACACACACACACACACTGCAATCAAACGCAAACATTACATACAAACACACCCCTGCATTAAAACACTAAAATGATCTACAAACACCCCTTAATTCAAACACCAACACTACACACAAAAAGCACACCTGCATTTAAAGTCCTACACTACATACAAACACTCATGCATTCAGACGCAAACATTACAAACAAGTACACCACTACATTCCAATGGCAACAGTACAAATACACCCATACATGCACGCATATACTTAATACAAAAACTTGCTTACATTCAAACACTGCTCACAAATATAACCCTGCAATGATGTGCAAATGGTAGATCTCCATCTGGCATAGCATTGTTGATGTTCTCTGACAGATGGAGATCTACCTTTTGGCCACACATTCACTAGATGGGGGCCCAGAAAACATTCTTGCACCAGGGTCCTCTCAACATTAGTTCTACCACTGGGATAATCAATGTGAGGTGCCTGGATGAAAGAGCAGGACACAGCACTTCTGATTCTGAGTCTGTGAGTAAGCGGTTGTATGTCTCTAAAACTGATTTCCATAATGTGCAAAGTTTCTGCCTCTAAAACTGCCATGATATCCCCAAATTATGCCTCTAAAACTGCCATGTTATGCCAATTTAATGCATCTAAAGCTGATTGCCATGGTGTGCCAATTGTATGCGTCTAAAGCGGATTGCCATGGTGTGCCAATTTTATGCATCTAACTGCCATGGTGTGCCAATTGTATGCCTCTGAAGCTGATTGCCATGATGTGCCAAGTTTATGCATCTAAAGCTGATTGCCATGGTGTGCCAAGTTTATGTATTTAAAGCTGCCATGATGTTCCAATTGTATGCCTCTAAAACTGATTGCCATGATGTACCAATTTTATGCATCTAAAGCGGATTGCCATGGTGTGCCAATTGTATGCATCTAAAGCGGATTTCCATGGTGTGCCAATTGTATGCATCTAAAGCGGTTTGCCATGGTGTGCCAATTGTATGCCTCTGAAGCTGATTGCCATGATGTGCCAAGTTTATGCATCTAAAGCTGATTGCCATGGTGTGCCAAGTTTATGTATTTAAAGCTGCCATGATGTTCCAATTGTATGCCTCTAAAACTGATTGCCATGATGTACCAATTTTATGCATCTAAAGTGGATTGCCATGGTGTGCCAATTGTATGCATCTAAAGCGGATTGCCATGGTGTGCCAATTGTATGCGTCTAAAGCGGATTGCCATGGTGTGCCAATTGTATGCATCTAAAGCGGATTTCCATGGTGTGGCAATTGTATGCATCTAAAGCGGATTGCCATGGTGTGCCAATTGTATGCCTCTGAAGCTGATTGCCATGGTGTTCACTTTTTAAAATACGCATTAAAAGCAAGTGGGTCTCGAAAAATTACCGTTTTGAAAAGTGGGTCTCGGCCCATAAAAGTTTGGGAAGCCCTGCTCTAGAGGCATGAGAATTGTGAAATGTAAATAGTGTAGTTCCATGCCCTCTGCGTGTCTCTCTCCAAAGCTCCGGTCAGTCTCTTTTGCCCTTTCCTCAGCTCCTCTGTGTCTCTTTGTGTTCCCCTAGCACCTCTGGGTGTCTCTGCCCCACACCCCTGTCTCATTCTTTCACCATGTTTCTTATTCCCCAAGCCCCATCATGTGTCTTAATCCCCGAGTCCCCCATGTGTCTCAGTCACCCAGCCCCCATGTGTCTCAATCCCGCAGACCACCATGTCACTCAATCCCCCAAACCCCCATGAGTCTCATTTCATCTCTTCCCTCCCCTGTGTATCTTACCCGCCAGTGTTAATTTTGGTGGCAAATTTCAATTTAGTTTTAGTCGTATTTTAGTTATCTGAATTGTTTTAGTCTAGTTTTAGTCGACTAAGTCTCCAAAATTGTTAGTTGACCAAATTAACACTGACCTGGACAGCAATGAAATGCTGAGGCTGCTGGTTAATTCACCCCATTAACTCTCAGCAACTCATCACAATTATGTCAATTTACACTATACTAATTTTTAAATTTATATATTTAGCCTTTCCATTACATGAATAGCTCCATTAAATTTAAAGCTGCATTCGGTAATGGAGCTTCCCACCATCCCACACCATTAAGCACCTTGTCTGTCTTTGTACAGACCTGCCCCCTTTTTGGGCATGTTCGCCCCTTTTGGCAGTTCTGGTCACGTGATTTGTGTGAGTGGCCCACCCTTTTACCCCACCCATTGACTTCCTGCTTCACTGGACGCTGCTGTTAGGGGGTATGGATTCACTTCAAAGTTGAAAGCATAAATTAGAGAGCGATTAGCATAGACTATGTGTTTTTTTTCTTATAGCTGCATCCTTTGAGTTTCCCTCCAACACCATCTCTATCAGATACATGACGCTTGGGAGGTATAACTGTTTTAGTGTTTTTGGTCGATAAGAGCAATATGGAGCACCTTACAAGGGAGTGGGGAAGGGTGGGGCAGTGTACAGTAACTTGTAATGGATCACCTTACAAGGGGATGGGGGGGCAATGTACAGTAACTTGTAATGGAGCACCTTACGAGGGGATGGGGGGTACAGTAACTTGTAATGGAGCACCTTACGAGGGGATGGGGGGTACAGTAACTTGTAATTTAGGTAGAGACCTACAATGTAAAATGTAACTCATGGTTACACTATCTTTGAAGGCAATGATGATATGATAAATTTAACCTTGAAATATTAATAATCAATAGTCACTCAATATTTTGTAGGATGGCACTTGCAAAGTACATTCCTTGTCTGGGTTCTTTGCTGAGAGTGAAACGCAAAGATTCAAGGAGTTACAGCAGCTATGCTTCATCTCGACGTTCAACAGTTACAAGTCATTGCAGCCAGTCTTCGGAAGTCGGTGGCCATCCTAAACTAAAGGGTCGTCTACCATCAGTCTCCGACAGTGAATCAGTAAGAGCAACATTGTGTCATGGCTTCTCTAATGTTCCCAAAAGAAAATCATGTCAGATGTAATGACTGTATTATTCTTACAACCAGCTCTTCTGTTTCACGTAGCAGGATTTGTGGTGTATAGAATTGAAGCTGGCATTGATTGTGTTGAACTGGGGAATTAGACTTGCTCTTCTGGGTGCTATAGCAGATCCTGACGTTAGATTAGTTATACATAAAATGGAAGGTGATCCTGACTCCTCTGAACACGCCAGGGGTGTTATGTAACACATGTTCACCTCATGCTTGCCACCATCAGCTTCATCTGATAACTTATCATTTTCACTGTTTTTCAGCAGTGGATACATTTTTACATGGTCAGAGTAGTCTTGAAAGACAAAGGATCCAATGCCATTGTTGCATTGTTGAGAAGTGGACAAAGGCACTCACAGGACTTCAAACAAAATAACTGCTTTATTTTACGCAGGTATGAACAACAACAACAACAGTCAATGTTTGTTGTCATTTGAAAAGTCCAGTGAGACGTTGGCTGTGTGCCGTTGCAAACCTGATTAAAATAAAGACTAGGAGAAAGCAATTTTTGTGAATAAAAATCTAAATTCAGACTAAAATAGTGAACGAGCCACTATAGCAGAGTTGGATACGTTTTCGAATTCAGCTATTTGGTCCTAAATTTTTTTTAAATAAAATTTTCTGCAATTCTTAGTTTAACCAATAAGCCTGTGAGGTCTTGTTACAGTTTATATTCCTTTTATGTGATTTCTAAGTTTATGATGTGTATTTGTAATGTCAAATTATGCTTATAATACACACACATATCGATATTTATATAAACACACACACACATACGGTATATCTTCAAAGAATCTTTTTGAGCTTTTTAAAGAATGGTTGCATTCTGCTCACACATAATCACATTACTCACACTTATTAACAATCAGACACTTGCATACACATTGGTGCACACACATGGTGACTTATACAACCACACTGACACCAATCATCAATGCCCATACCCAGAGATATATGCACTCACATATACTTATTAACACACATAGCCACTCCTACAAACACTGACACCCACACAGTGACCAATGCAACTACACTGACACACAATCTGTCACACACGCAGTCACTGGCACACACTCACATATACTCATTAACAGGGACGTATTAGCCGCAAGGCAAACAAGGCATTTGCCTTGGGTGGCACTTTCCAGGGGGCGGCAAAAAAAGCCGCCCCCAAATGCCCAGGCAAGTGTCTTGTTTGCCTTGCGGCTAATACGTCCCTGTTAATGAGTGTATGTGAAATTCGCATCCAGCGTGCAGAACATCCATAGGAAAGCTTTGAGAAATGCTTTCCTATGGACTGTTTGAATGCGCGTGCGGCTCTTGCCGCGCATGCGCAATCCGCTCCACTCGGGAGCTGACGTCGGCGGGGGAGGAGAGGTCTAAGGTAAGTTGCTGAAGGAGTTTTAACCCCTTCAGTGCCAAGGGAGGTGGACCCTGAGGGAGGGGGGGGGTACTAAGGATGAACGGGTATGTTTTACTGACACTATAGTGATCCTTTAAGTTATTGATGTGTTTAATAATTGTAGTATATACAATTTGCTGTGTCTGCATATCTGTGTTCTGTCTAACAAAAAAAAAATATACAAAAGAATAGTGTGCAATTAAACACAGCCCCATTCATACTTATATTATTAAAATAATCTCATAAATGAACCATTAATGCAAAACATTTCGTGGATCTTCTAAAAATATCTAAGGAATTTATCATAATCTAAATATCACAAACCCATTTACTGCCAATAATTCCAATGAATCATATCCAAAAAGAGGATCGCACATGCTTCTAAAAAAAAAATAGACCAAGTATGCAGGATGGGCAGAACCCAGATACAATACCTCAAAGGGAATGTCTGTGCACCCCAAGTGGTTTTCATGAGCAGAGTTCATTGGTTAGAGCAACGTTTTGGCTCTGCAATTGAGCCTCTATCAAGCAATATAACTTACTGATAAATCTGCTCATGAAAACCTATTGGAGTGCATAGGCATTTCTTTTGAAATTATTCCACTGAAGTCAAAGTTGAAACTCGACTGAACTGAAGAGTTACACATTGATCTTGATGACTGTGATGTCAAGCCCCATAGGTTGATACCAAATGGTTAATGACAAAAAACAAACAAAAAAATGGTACATTTGCTGACTTTTCAATTCCATCATGGGTTGAAAGCTAGAGAGTACCATATTTAAAAAAAACAACCTTGAATTTTCTGTATGGATATTGAAGTGTGGTTGTTCAAGGTATTTAAAAACAAATATTTTGGATATTATGCACGTTTGTTAGTGATTTTGCTCTATTCTACATATTGTGCTATTTTGTGGTTATAGTGCGTTTTAGCTTTTTACTTGATTTAAGGAAGAATTATTTGTTAACACGTAACTTCCACACTGGTCTTCAATAAATGGGACATGTTACTACTGCTTGTGTAAAACAGAGTATTGGGAAGTTGTTATAAAAGTGTCTTACATATTTATCGAGTTTTTGGAATTTGCTAGGTGTCTCATGGTTCAAAGTGTTGATAACTCTGCTTTGGAAAGACTGTGGAAGTTACAATCTGAGTGTTAACATAACATAAGGCATATAGTCCATTTTCATTAATCTGATACTGATAAAAGTGTTGGAGAAATACATCAAAAAAGTGTGATTGCAATTGCTTTGTGATGGTTAACGGACCATCGTCAGCCATTACCATGTCAATAAACATTGACCGTAAGACGAAATGTACCATTTAGTCCTAATATTTAACATATGGAAACTGTAAGTCAACAAAATAGTAGACTTTTTAAGGATTGCATTGTAGAATGCCAATGTTTTAGTAAATATAGACTAAATTCTCACTTTCACTATTAAGTATAAAATAAAATGTACTAGTCACATTTATTCTGAAAATGTGCCTCCTCAGCTGCTACAAACCATTCCATTCCATTCTCCGCTCCTAATTTTCCCCTGCTGTTGACTCCCATCCATGTAAGAAATATGTCTCATTCCCCCCCCCCACCCCTTACCCGATATCATTTAGAAATTCTCTTTAATATTCGTTTCAGGGCTGGACTGATACTGAAGCTGATATCAGTAGTGTGAATTCCAGACCAGCCAGTAGGCAGGTGTCCTATGAAATGGGCAAAGACACCAGTGAGACCAATGACATAATATCCAAAGCTAAGTTGAAAAGTCATGATTCTGGAATTTTTGAGAAGGTAACTCTGCATTTTTACGCAACTCAAACAGCTCTTGTATTATTTTCATGGGAAACTTTATAACTACACAGGATTCCAGATCACGAAAAACATAGATACCAGAACAACAAAAAACATTTAGTAAGGGTCCTTCCAATTACTTTTGGTGTAGCCCATTTATTCTAGAAATATAAGTTAGTATATTTATTGGGTTTTTTTCTTCACCCAAGTTGTTTTATTTTTTAATTTTTTAAATTCTTTATTTTAGTTGTGCTTAGAAATACAAGGAAATTGACCATCAGCAGTACAACAAACGTAGTGTAGATCATAGCATGAATTACCAGTGAACGAAAGGTTGTACATTCACAGGTACAGCACCTTAGTAGTTAAAGTATAAACAAAGTCTAAGCTAGGATATTTTGTCAAATATGGTGGATAACTGCATTATATACTTTGCACATAACAGTTGAGAGATACATGTTAGTTAGGCAGCCTATCTTGTTAGTGCATTGAGCTTAGCTTTCTAGACTGATAAACTGAAGAATAAAAATTAAAAATAACCTTAAGAAAGGCGAAAATTCACTATCGTTATCTGGCGAGTCTCTTATGAACAGTAGGTAGGGATTAGGTTGCACAGATTGGGTCATCGTTATCTTCCAGTTGTCTTATTTTAATTGCGTTAGTTACCATTTATTTTCATCACTTGATTTGGGTGTTTGTACCTTGTATTGTTATATTGCGTTCCTTTCAAAACTCAATATTATGATTGCGTCTTGAAGTTTGTACCTTCCCTTATTATTTTCCGTTCCTTTACAAAACCATCATTTGATTGTGTCTGTATGTCCGTACCTTTCGTAATTATTTTCTGCTCCTTTTTAATGTATTGTTTACATTGGCCATAATCTTTGTACACTTAATGGGGAAATCTATCCCTCTGTTTAATAGACCCCGACAGTAAAGCATTTTGCATGTAAATATGTAAAGAAAATGCATTTGTAGCACAATGCTTCTTTTGTCCTGAATTAATATTGAAGCAGCATTGTCCTGTGTTGGACTTTGTACTTTGTTTCAAAGACCAGCCTAAGTGACATGTCTGCTTCTATTAGGGCGTCCAAGGTGAGAGAATGAACAATGAAATGTTTATGCATAGCTCCTCTATCTCGGCTCCTACTTCCAACCTTCAGTTCCTGGCAGTTGAAACCATCTTCATGCATATACAATAGCCATAGGTTTATGGAAGATCCAGCAAGAATTTACGACCTTCCATAGATCTTCTTGTATGTTACCATCTTTTGTCACTAGAGATGGTTTTAGGAAGTGACCAGATATGGCAGCCGAAGTTTCCCTTTGCCTAAAATCATCTTGTCGTAAGAGAAAGTGATGTTCCAATACAGTCTAATTTGCTTTTCATTATCATTCTATCTTAATGAAAACTCAAAGTGGCATTGCTGCTTTAAGTTACCTCTTAAGAGTCTCTTGTTAAATTCTTTTTCATTCCCATGTGTTTTAGACCTCAATGGATGCTGATGACATTTCCCTGGTGGAGATTGGTACAGCAGGCCGCAATTCTCCATTCACTGTAAGTTCATACAAAGTATATATTTTATCATATATCTAAAAAAATAAATAAAACTATTACAAATTAGTAACAAAATAAAAACAGAAAAATTGAGAAAGGTCTCAAAACAGCTCAGAGAGCCTTTACTACACTGTGATTGATTTGCAGAGGAACTAAATCACAGTGCTTTGTCTGACAACTCTCTCTCAAAGTGTATAATGACATTAGACCTGCTGACATTTTATAAAGGCCCATTTATATTCTTGTGTCTAGTCAAGAGTACAGTGGTGGTCAAGTGATGAACATCTGGTAAGCAAGGCTGTAAGGAGTTGTAGGGAGACAATAACAGCACTAAGTGCAGTAATTGCCCCGCTGTCTTTTTGAATATACTTCCCAAGCTATTTTTATACCCAATTTTTAGTAGTTCCTTTTTAATTCACAAAAGCCCTGTATGGACCTTATCTGTACTCCATAGTTAGCCCCTGGGCTATTATTGACTCTCTAGACCAGTAACAGGCAACCTCTGGCACTCCAAGTGTTGTGAACTACATCTCCTATGATGCTTTTTCAGCATTGTGGCTGTAAGAGGATAGGTTGCCTACCCATGATATAGGAGGTCTTTTAGGCAATATTCATCAAATGGGTGGTCTCCTTCCTCGGTCCTTGTGTACCACCACACTATTGCCTGAGTATTACAGAAAGATTAAGGAGTTGGTCTGAGGGAAGCAGAAGAGTTATAAAATGGCTAAAAGTGAGATGGGAGAGAGGGAGATGTTTGATGAAAGAAAAAAAAAACAAATAACACTTAAATGTACTAGGGAGAAAATAGCTGGAGAGGAGAGATTTCTGGTTGAAAAACATCTTATGGAGGGGACAAACATCTATGAATAGAAATAGAAAAATATAAAAAGAATACAAAACATCTGCCTTTGGCATATTAGTTAAAGCTCCCAGTAACATGTTTGCTGTTAATGGTAATAGAGGGATCATAGCAAGGATTCATTTAGATAAAACATATCATTATAACATTCTCTCACTGTTAATAAGGAATCTGTGCTATGTATCTTGTGAATTTCTGTTCATTAGATAATTAACCTTCTATGTGATTTTGGTTCACATTTATGCTACTTTCTTCAGTTTGACATTTTTACATTTTCTATTTGAATGATTAAGACAGGTAAAACTTTAAATGGCCTCGGGCCTAGAAGAGGAGAGACATTTTCTAGAGCAGCAGCATCAAGGATACCAAGCATCGTTGTGACGTACAGCAACCACCAAGGAGGTCAAGCAGTGGTGGAACACAACTCGGCCTTGCCCTGTACGCTCAACAACCAAGATCAGGAGAAAGATACCAAAAAACACAAGGATACAACGAAGCCAGATGTATCTATCGCAACAATCTCCTCTGAAGTGATACCTGAAAATAGCTCAGATATTTTCCTAAAGCAATTATCTCGAGAGAAAACATCGTGAAATGGAAAGGAGGTTAAGTTAGCATTTCATTTTTAATTTGTCTTTCTTTTAACTGTGATCATTGGTTCCATTTCAGTGTTAAAAACACAGTAAACGTTTTATAGAGGTCGTAAAAATCTGCTGTATTATTCTTTTCGAAATCAGCGTGATTGACAAAGCTGCACACCATAATGCCACGGATATTAAAAGCAAATGGCCATATAATTTTAGTGCAAATACTGACAGCTGTTTGCGAGGCACAGTTGTAAAATGCAGTGAATCGTGGATCTAAATATTACTTGTATGTTTTGTTTATTTTAAGCATCATAAGATGGTTTCGGTGTATTAAGTGGAAGCTCAACTGCAACACAGCAAGTTTTAATTAAATCTTTGCCTTGCCATTCAGTATAACGGGAAAATGGGACTCTTCTCTACTGTAGATACAGGCCACCATTATGTAGAGGAAATAGGCCCCTTCAGTTAGGTGAATAAATGGATTGAAATGCTCTTAAAGAGTTGGCAGGGGAAAAAACGAGATAATACAATAGATTTCTATTTATTAAATTGAGTTTCTTCAAAGAATTTTTAATTATTATTATTGGTATTAACAAAGCACCGACGTGTTATGTAGTTTTAAACGGGCCAGTTAACTTGATAAAACTCCTGACTTATTGAAGCATCCACCTTACAAAGGACCAGTCACTTTATCAGTGAAATAGTTTTAGAGATATTTGGTTTAAATACTATTTTGTCTGAGTGGAGTTTTGTTTAATGGCATACAGGTTAACACATGTGACCAATTACTCTTCCTTTCCTAAATGCATTTACTCCCTTTTACTCCTAGTCATGCACATTGAAATATTGTTTTATAAAAAATAATAATAAGAAGAAACCGTAATATACATTCATTTGCACTGTGTGTACCCGATTTTCAGTTTCACAACTTTTCAATAAACAGTGTCCGTGACAATACATATTTTAGGAAGTTTCCAAGTAAATCAATGTATGTATGTTCTTATAATAAGCTCTATATTTGGTATGTACAGTTCTGGTACACCGAAGCTCGTAATTTGCTGTTTGATCAATTCCATTTATATGATCACCAAAGTTATAACAAAAATTATAAAACAAAAGAAAATAGCGTACCCAATAAACACAGTTCCCCCTACAAGACCGGAAAAGGCCTTATGGAGATGAAGTTCCTCTCACTTAGACCTCCTCCCATAGCCGTCAATTTTTCCATGAGGTAGTTATCAGCTACATTTGCCTTTACCTCCTCCACAGTGGGCGATGTCGTCTGTAACCACCCAGCCACCAAAGTTCTACAAGTAATTTTATAGAACAATTTCTGGGAGCGCACCAAAAAACCATCTTTAAGTTTGGATTTTAGAAATGTCCAGGGATACATCCCAAACAGCCTGTGGAATATTTGTGAACAGACTCCAAATGTTCTCCCAGAAAGGTGTAACCTGGGATCATCTCTACACAAATAGACACTCTTCATGCCACCTTTCATATGTCCTGCCATATTTCTCCATCCTGCTTTCCTACCAAGTAATATATTTATAGTTTTTACAGACGTAGGTGTGTATGGTGTGGCCACGTCAGACCACAAAATGAGAAGTAGAAAGGCTTTTTATGGCTAAACTTTAAGGAGGTAAAATAGTTCAAACCTACTAAATGTAATATCTCTAAAACAGTTACATGGTTAAATGCTGTTCAAATCAAATATATAAATAATGCAAAATATAAGATGTTTCTCATGGGACATCTAATGAACCCTATATTTTCACAGATGTCTCATTTAATTTAAAATTACATAAAATAAATATTATAAATAAAAAATGTGAATATGTTGAATGTAGTTTAAATTCCTTTGCATAAAATCCTAATACATATAAGGGTTTTATAAAAGTGAGCACATATATTTAGTTCACTTCACTATTAATATTAAAGTTTTAAAAGAGTATTGGCAGTTGTCAGCTTTGCATTGGACCTTAATAATTAACTTACGAAACAAGCAATATTTTAGTATATGCCAAAGAAAAGTCTTCACGTATCAGTCTCACTTTGGGCCGTAGTGCATTAACTCAATTTCATGGCTTGCTTATAGCATCATGTCGAATAATTGATGTAGACTGTATAGTGCCTTCTTTCTCGTGATGATAAAATATAAATTGTCTATGGAATAAACCCATTACTAAATGCTGTATGTTAGAAACCTGTGTATGCATTTTTATGAATGCAATTAGAAAATATTTGGCAAAGTCTGTATTCAAATTCAGCTACCTATATATAGAATGTGTACAAAAAGTAATTGTATTTATTGGGATAATTGTATTGACTTTGAATACCAAAAGCAGGTTAATTGATTATTGCTAAAAACTTAAACTAAGGGCTTTTAATATTTTAAGCATTTGATTGTATCATTTATCTTGTCTTATATTAAATGGTATTAACCACCATCAATTAAAAAAGTGACTTTTGGAAAAGATTAGGGATAATTATTCATGTTTGTAGAGTACCATCACATACCTCGGTATTGCCCAAATAATGGGCAAATAAAAAAACTACAGAAATTTTTTGTCTAAAGAAGTTTAGAAATAGGGGAAGGCCATGCTAAGCATTATTTTGCGGTTAAAGGGTCACTCTAACCCTTGTAATGAAAATGCATTTTTAAACTACAAATGCCTTATGGGGCATAACTATTAGGTGAGCCTCGTCAAACCTTGGAATCTTACTCGGAATTCAGCATCAGGCGAAGCTCCCGGTACCGATCTTCCATGCCCCATCAGGACATCACTCAGCACCCATACAGTACAGAGACACCTGCGCATATGTGCAATATGTTTGTTCCTGCAGAACTACCCAAACTGCTAAAAACAATAGTTTATATACATTATAGAAACGTGGAAATGCAATGGTTTTTTCAAGCCTGGATCTTTGGATTGTTAAAGCAGTCATGAAACAATTCCTGAAGCAAGGCAGGAAACACAGGGTCATCAATCGTCCAGAAAGTCAGGTAGTCAGATTTGCAACTGATAGGCCGAGTTTAGAGGTCAAAAGTAAGAATAAATGCAAATAGGTTACTGGGTGAGTGAAATTGTATCTCTTCTGAATAGAAATTCACCCCTGGTCAGTATATCTTAGACTCTCCAGGCTTACAGTGGTGAGTAACTTTCAGGGCTGGGCTTGTAGCATAGAACTTGAGATTTTAATACGATATAGGGTATAAAACCTTTTCGCATAGGAGTAGTGCAAACGGTAATTTGAATGAAATAATTAAAGTCTAGCAAGAATTCTAAATACAACATAACTTTTCCATTGGGAGGTAATGTTGGTAGTATAAGTATAGCCAAAACTCTTCCAGGGTTATTCAGTAAAGTGATAATTATTGACAATTCAAAGTGAATTGAACATTTAAGTCCAAAAGGGCTGATTTGGAAACATAACCGACTTGCAGAATTCTTCTGATATTGGACTAACCTTTGAAATTCACTCTGAATTCACAATTTATGGTAATTCGCACTTTAGTACATAACACTATTACTAAGCTGAGAAAGAACACAATTTAATATATTGGAACAACAATTTTTATTTTTTATTATTTTTAAAAAGATAATTTTTTTACCAATGTTTTAATTGATTTGTGGAAATGCAGCTGTCTGTGTGCTATGGCAGAGCATTAAGGATCACGTAGACCACTTTCCACTTTCCTGTTATTTCAAACATGATATTTCTTCACATTGGGGTACACTGTTTCTTTACGCAATAGCAGAGCCACAGGAACAATAGGCAAATTAACTTGCTAGAAAATGGATTGTACCTGAGTAATGAAGAGTTGGACAGTAACATTAGCACCGAGTTGTACAATAGTATAAAACAGACCAGCTTCTAACAAAACCCATGTCTCTCTTAAACATGTATGTTAAAGGGATACATTATAGTCATCAGAACAACCACAGCTCATTGTAGTTGTTATGGTGCGTATAGACAGTCCCTGCAGGCATTTTCATGCAAACACTATCTTATTAGAGAAAAGGCGGTGTTTGCATTACAGCCTAGGGACACTCCTCAGATGGCCACTGGTGATGCTTGCTGGAGCAGTGTTGTGCAGTGTGCAGCACTGCCGTTCAGCTGCTCAATGCTCTGCCTACATTGCATCTCTATGAGGAGATGCTGATTGGCCATGATGGGATTTGACTCCGCCCCCCCCACCCCACCTCCTTGGCGATCTCAGCCAATCCAATGCTTTCCTTACAGGAAAGCATTGGATTGGCTGAGATTATCAATACTGATGATGTCAGCCAAAGTGGCAGATTGGGGGCGGGTCCTGTGCCTAAATGGTGGTTTTAACACTATAGCATCAGAAATACATATTTGTGTTCCTGACCCAATAGTGTTCTGGTGAATGCAAACAACTATATGATCTACATATAAATAGCTTAGGTGCAATTTTCACTGGGAGAAGGTAACTGGGAGGACCTTGTGCTAGTTAAAACAAATGTAAACTGATTAGTCACAGTTGCAAAACTGACCATTCTAGTTACAAAGAAGACACAATTTATACAATTTGTGGCATGCTGTTATATTTGCATATATCCCATTTGTACCTAAATGAAATTTGATGTCATTTTTCATGTAGCTAAAACTATGTACTGAAGGAATTAAAGAAGACCTTGTTGAATTTAAGAGTTATGAGACATTCACAAAATACCAAAACCTGAACTGTTTTTGCTTTTTGTACAAGTCGTTTTAATCATAAACCCTTACTGTTATTTATCTTTTGTGCTGACTTGATTTATTGGAATCATTTTCAAAATAAAACACATATTTAAATGACAGTTTTCTTCAATGTGTTTTATTTTTTTAAATCTTGAATAATGGTCATCCTTGCAGAAAAATGAACTCACAAATAGCACCAATAAACTAGATATTTTATAGAATTCTCTACTCAACTGATAAAATGATATGTGTTGTTTCATATAACATCAAGGTGCTGGTGTACATTGTCGTTACCACTAATAGTCTTGTAAACCTGCATGTAATATGCATTCTCAAAAGAGAAATCGTTTATGGTCCAAGTCAACTTCAGTAATTTAAGCAATTAAAATACAGTGGACATGGCGACTAGTCCATCCTTATAAGCAACGCATTCTAACTTTTCTGCATAAGAGCCACCTACATCAAAGATAATATTGTCAGACCAACTTTATGTCTGGTAGGCAATAATTTGCATAAATAACTTAGACCACACAATAAACGCAGACACAGTTTATTTTATTTTAATGGGCTTGGCCGTGGTGTTTATTAAAGCTTGAACCAGGGGGCACACACCATACTTGATAACGGTAACATTACAGTAAACATTTCACTTTACTTCCAAAACTTTTCACTTTCACCATCAATTCATATTGCCAGTCAGTCATAACTAACCTGACCGACTTATAAATACAACCACCACTTAACAATAGCCTTCCTCAAAACCACGGCTTCCAACACCACGACATTACTTATAAACACATTTAACAATTTGTAGGGGGGGAGGGTGGATGTCCATCGGTGCTTCTCCCGTCCTGTAGTAAAACTGCTGACAGGGATTGCCTTGCACTGTCACCTTTTATGCTTACCTGGTTTCCCGCTCTTTTCTGGCTCACTGACAGCAACCAATCATCAGCCAGCTCTAATCTGCCCAGCTACTTGTCCCACTCTGCCCAACAAGATTATCAGGGGTCATGAACTTACACTGACCTATTAACCCTCTATTGCCACCAAACATATATGCCACAGTGCTTAGTGCCTGTGGCCTCTTTATCCTTTATTCATAATGATGCGAGTTTTATTAGATGATCTCATTCGATTACCATTTACACAGTTATATATTCTGTTATTGTGTCATTTAAATTTAATGGCACCGAGTAATTTATTGTGGCTGTAATGACTCAGTTTACTAGCCCAATTTTAACTTACCTCACACAGGGCTCTTTGTCCTCCTCACTGGTTTCCTATTCCTTAGGTGCATATAAATAAAACATTCTTTATTGTGTGAAAATTCGTCCTTTAAAGAGATATTGAATTCGATAAAGCCAAGACAGTACGAATCAATACGTTTTGGAGTCCTTGCAACCTTTCAAAATAACTTCAGAAAAGTTAATTGAAGTTGACTAAAGCTCTCCCATCTTCACGTCACATGACGAGAGTAGAGGCTTTCCATGTCCAGTCACACCATATCAATTAAACCTTTCAAGCTGAGGCTAGGGTCAGAGAATTTTAATTGCTTCACCACACTGCCTCACAACTCATATTGGGCTCAGTAAAACATACACAACCAAAGATTCCAAGCCCAGGCAAATGCTTCTAAAACGGATTTTACTATCAGAATGAGGTCATGGTTAACACAACATGACTGTGAAATCATGGAGAGTAAACCACTTAAAGGAGAACTGTCATTTTTTCGGATATGTATGCCATTGAATAATACAACTGAAATCACATATAACATGATTCAGTCTTTTTTACATTTATATTAAACGTTTAGCAAATGACATCATAATCTAGTAAAAACAAAGCTGGCGCTCACAATGTAAATGAAGGCCGTGTTTGTAACAATGATTGTCAGAGAGCTAAAAAGGAGGCACCCAGTTGAGGGATAAAGAGGTTTAGTTGTGTTTTCCATATTCTGGTATACTATTAAAGGAAGCATGCTTAGGGATAAGTAAGCACACTATTAAAAATCCCGGGACAGTGCCATTTTAGGGGTGAATTATTTCTTAGAACAAATAAAGCAGTTCTTTCACTTTGCAAGGTTTGCTTTGAAATGAATCATTTTATCGTTCCTCTATTTCTCCTCATTTTAAAGTCACCTTTATTTTTAGTTATACATTAAGAAAACGTAGGGACTACTTTTTCTCACAGGGGGGCCTGATCTTTGGCAAAGGTTTGTCAGCCATGGAGGTGTTTTAGAGCGTATTTATAAAAGAGCAGATGTTTTATGGAAAATCAGCACTTTTATAATGCTCAGTTAAAATGTAACGGAGGCTGTAGTGGAGTGACAGGAGCTGTAGTCTGGGTGTATAATAAAGTTTATTCACACCCTCCGAGGGGCTTACACTTATCTGAATGTTATTTTAAGTTACCTCTAAAATACATTATTACTGTGGTTATCCAAGTACAATCAAGAGTGCAGGAATTACAGATTAACCAATTCTTTACCAATTGGTTTAAAAGAAGACTGAAAAAAGGGCCATTGCATCGTCCTGCATTTCATCATGATAATGCAATCCTAGAATACTTTCTTAGTAGTTATTTTTTGTTATTCTGAACATAATATCAGCTTGATGATCCATGCTCCAAATACAAAATTACGAAACAACATTTACTAAAAATTTACTGAAATGAATTATGTAAAACACCTTCATTAGACTCATCTTACTGTGTTTTTTCTGTTAGAGAAGTCAGGACTGCTACACTAAACATTCTATTGTAAGCAGTTACTTGGTTGAGTATTTGATTCAGTTTCAGACAAATTACAAGTCGTCTAAATTGAGGCTGATTGACGGATCGGCCGTATTCAATATCTTCAGTGTCACAGGGGTGTATAACAGAGCAAACGACTAGCATCATGGATGAGCAAAAGAGATGATTGGTAGGAAAAGATGATGGATGGTTAAGGGACAACCAAGATAGACTTCCCGTCAGCCCCTACTGGACCAGGAAAGGTCCAACCGTGTCTGTCGGAGCAGGGAGAAAAAGGGGGGGCATTGTAAAGGATTTCCTTGTGTTTACCTGTACCCATTCGGTTATTTCCTCTCCCTGCTAGTTAAGTGACTGTAAAGTATTTGTTTATTTCTGTGTTCGGGACATTTATTCATTCTACCGAACGGAGACCACCCTGGGGTAGCTGTTTAAATCCATATTTATATATGTATATATTATATATTTAATAAGTATATATAAATCTAGATTGATATCTATTTTCTCACTTGGTCTCTGAAATGGCAGGAAAATGCATCTATATACTGCAAAATACATACATATTATTTATATTCATATATTTTGCAGTACACTATCAGTCCATTTTTATAACCTAAGCATCGTTTTCCTGATGTTTTTCATAGACAATATTCAGACGAGCAGGACTTTCCAATGAACGAGTATCTGAGGTCCCAAATTAAATTTCCTTTTTGGAACAGAGATTCGGCCAAACCAACTTTTTCCCACTGCTCCTAAGCCTTGGACCTTATTAATAATATGGTCTGTTCCAGGAATTGAGAACCTAAGAAACGTTATACCAACCCTGTGGCGAAACCGACCGCGCCACGTGTCCTTGGAGGGGGCTGCTTGCCCGCCTCTTGCCTTTGGACTATGGACCAGACTTTATGTGAATGTTTTAACCCAGATAGCTATGCCATGAAGCCCATTCGTGTAGTTAAAGACTTCGGCTCCATGGCAATTGAACTGTGTGAATAGGATCTGAGCGCTATTCGGTAGATTTGTGCGCTCAGATCCCAGATATCTGGGGGTATGTGAAATGTCTGTGTCTTATGGGTAAAAGGTGACTTTATGTATTTTAAAGTGTTTTGTGTCTTTTTGCAACCATGTGCTTAATGGAGTCTTGTGTCTGTCCTGGGAGATAATTGAATTACTCTCCAGGATAGAAGACTCTGAAACTGGTTTGGGCCAGAAAGCCATGCTTCATTTAGTCACAAAGGACTTTCCCTTAACTTTTGAACCCCTGGTCTGATTCGTGCCATTTTTTAATATGTTGTTCCCCTGAATGGATTGATTATGAAAATGTATGTTTTATGTTTGTGACATGTATATTTTAGAAGTTATAAATATTGTGTAAAAACTGTATTCCTCTGCCGGTGATAATGAGATTACCCATTGTGTTCAGTAATCATATCACATGCAGAGTGGAGGATTTTGTGTGGGAGTGTCTGGGTGTATTGTATGGATTGATTGGTTGTTTTGTAACGCCCTGTGGGCTGTACTATGTTTGTGGATTGGGAATAAAAGAGACTGTATGTGACAGTACAGAGAGTTCCTGCTTAACCCTCAAAGTGAAGTGTCGTCTCATTATTGGGGGAAGGATTTATTGTATGCTGTTCCAGTTTGACTGCTAGGAGAGTAAACCTATTCGTATGGTTCCTATTCAACTGTCTACAGCATTCATATGCTTGGGAGAATTTATTTGTTTCCCGGTTCGGTGATTGTGTTGTCTGCCAGAGTGCTTGGAGTCCTCAGGAAGCGCTAGGAGCATCCTTCAACTGAGGTACCCAGTCGGGGTGCCAGGCGATCCGTTACAAACCCAAATATTAGGATCCACTGGCTTAGCAATTTTTCTTTTACGCAAACATAAAACCATTGCTGGCATATTGAATGTACAAGCATGAACTGTATTATCAGTTGTAAACAAGAAATCTTACACACTTTTAGACAGAACTGAAACAAGATGGACGCAAGTCTCTTTTCAGCTATGTAACTATGTAACTATGTAACTGTAAGATGACCACTTATAGAATTACGTTCAAACGTCAAATAAAGAAGGGAGCATAGCTGGTGAGGTGGACTGGGAAAAGAAACTGTGTTGAGAGGTCTATTTGGTATTGGAAAGATAACGATATGAAGTCTTAATAGACAGAAAAAGAGATACACAGGTACAACACATAACGTGGAAGATTAATAACTAATTATCAAAGGTATCAGGGGGATAAAAGGGGAATGGGTGAGTGCAATAAAACAAGGAGAGAAATATAAAAAGTCTAAACTGCAATGACAATGACAGCTAATTATTATAGTGTAAAGACCAGGAGTAGGCAACC